ATTTCTAAGTGTTAATATTTAATCAATTAGTTTAACATTCCAAACACTGTATTTGTTAATGTTTCAATGTGAGCGAAATTTATTTTCGATATTTTACAATTTCAATTCAATTTTTACCTATTCCGTATATTTTGTGAGATTTTGATTTAGCCTCATTTTGAATAAATCTCGAAAGTAAGTAGTACGTTCGACCAGAATGCGCACTCTTTAGAGTGCCACCCGGTATAAATCCATACTTTTCACGGATTTCACAAAAAAAATACATACTCGACCAATAAAAGACGTGAGACTGGTTCGAGGACCCCACCCAGGTGGCGCGTCGGCGCCGAAATAGAACCTGGGCCCCAAAAATCAGCTTATTGGCAATCTCCCTACTCATCTCTGCAAAAATTGTCTGGTGCCGTAATAAATAAACGAGTCGCGTCGAAACTCAACGGTCCCCGTTGACGTGAACACGAATAATTGATAAAAATAAATAGTGCCGGGACGACATCTTATCGCGAGAGTTCACAACACAGCTGTGAATATATTCATAAGTGACATGAATACCAACGATAATCTCGATCAATGACTTGAACTAAGTCATTCTAAATCCCCCATTGGATTATTATACACAAGAAAAATAACCGTAGTAACCTCATTCATCTTGGACGAAATATCGTGAATCAACAAAATGGTGGTTCGATGCGATATAGAAACTTTAATTAATTAAATTCCTTCAACTTGTGTCTCAAGATAATCACAGAAAACGTATAGTTATCGCTACAAGAATGTATGAGAGTCAGACTTGACTTTTTGTCTAAATTCCAAAAGTTTTATCTACGTACAGGATAACGGTATGAGAATAAAAATAATATATTTTAAATTTTATTTTAAAAATTCTAATCAAATGTTCATTCGTCAATTTATCTGTTAAGAGTCTAAGATAAAGATTTTTTTTTGAATTCCACATAACTGGCATCTCTTACAGTCGTTAATACTTTCTCTTAAGAGGATCACTTAATCAAGATCATTAATAGATCCATGCACGGCCAATGGCTCTGGAGCGTTATCTCTCTATGTTTAGATCATGCATTCCTACACTCCTGTAATTCTCTGCTCTCGCACTCTCATCTCCCTTTCTCGTATCGTGTTTTCAGTAGGCGGTACCCTTTTACACCATGGAGCACAGAACACCATAAGAAACACGTGGTCCACCTTCAACATGGAAGTTCAGCCGAGAATCCGATGCTACTCGAAACCCGCAAACTTAATCGCCTCTGTGTATAGTATATATACCACTCTATCCAAAGCAGCTGGTGGGATCTCTTTGAACTTGCCGCGATGTGGCGAATCGCTAGGGTTAACACGAGAGCAAAGAGTCGATTATAAGATGACTCAAGTGCTCCGCCTAAACATCATCCTAACTCTGGAACCACCTATATTTTCGTAGATATAACATCACTTAATGAAAAATACTGTAGACTGACACCAAAGATATTTTTGTCAAAATATCTAATGCAGTAACGAGTACAGCTTTAATTTTTTTCATATGGAATACATGTGAGTGTATAACAGTCATTTTTCATATATTTATAAATTTCATCTAAAAGTTATAATTACGTATAATATATATACATATATATGTCAATAAGTTTCAATGACTCTAACACACTTTAATATTTTTTTCCAGAATGTAGCAGCATGCCCGAAAATTTACTGAGGATTCTGCAGTAATCGCCTGTACGTATACTTCAGATAGTCCTACGAAAGCCAAAGAACTGTACCGGAAGAACGTGACAGAAACATGAAGAAAAAAAAAGAGAAAGAGTCACTTTTCAAACAACGATTCGTGATCGCCATATAATTGACAAATATTAAAAGAAAAAGAAGACAGGAATATAAAGGTATGCCAGATTAAATAACGAATATCCCTATTAAATGAATTCTCGTAAGATTTAATGAATCCTTGGACATTCCTGACATGAATATCTTCTTACAGACGACCATTAATATTCGCAAGGTGTTCGCAGCGTCTTCTTGTCTGGGTTTGCATTTTCTCTGCTCCTTAATAGACATACGATTCCTCCTCTATCTCCGAACAGTTCGTGATTTTGCATAAGTGAATACGCATATGTATGCGAAGGCGTCCCATCCTGAATTAATCTAGCGAGTTCGGAGTCAAGAAATCGTAGGAGTCTGAAAGACAGATAAACACGTGCCCAGTACCAGTTCTGGGTAGGGTGGCTGACTGGCTGGCTGGAGGACCGACTGACTGACGTGATGGACACACGGATGGACGTGCGCACTGACTGACAGCTGCGTCACTTTTGTTTTGTATCTTTTTTCATCATTGTTAAGGTCTGCCACGCCTAGCCATAATGCACGGCGAGACTCATTGTCTGTACACTATGGTGCCAACTTATCTTGGATCTTATGAGCAACCAGTATATGGAATAATAAATTGGTGAGTTAAAGAAAGTAAAACGTATAAAATATATTTGTAACTGAGCTATCCGAAATTTCTTTAACAGGCAGTCAAGACCATCGTGGATTTCATGTGAGTCAAGCTGCTGAGACTGTGAGGTCCTTTTTATTTTTTCAAGGAATCTCTTGCTACGTTACGTTCCTAGAATATAACAGTTCCAAGAAAGGTCTTGAAGAGCTTTTAAAGATTTTCAAATCCAAAGAAAAGACAAGGGCATCCAATGGTACAGCTTGACTTGTAACTTGATCATACTAATTTGGTACTGACCCACTTAAGGATTTGTCATACTCTTAGAAAAATATTAATAATTGTCTCTGCTAAGATTCACAAAATTTTTATAACGATATTTATACGTGTATATACATTGCATATCTTAAGGATTCAATATTTTTGTTTTACAGATTACAAAAATAAATATACAGGGTGGGATACTTACAGTGTCCGGATCAAGACAAAATACCCGTTCTTCACGTTACTTGGGATCTGCTATCTAGTCTCTCTAATCATCCCCTTTATTCAACTCTACAAGGAATCGAATCCCAGTGGAGCGCGAAAGGCGTCGAAATTTAAGCCAGGCACTTTTAAAGTCCCCAGCCAGCTAATGGCCCTAGTCAAATTACGCTTTAAGCCGGGTACACAATGTGCACCAGGTAAGCACGTAGACTACCTAGAATGGATATTTATTCTTATTTTCAAGATATCCTATCGCCTGTCAATTTTGGGTCATTAGCGTACACATACTGTTAGACCCAAAATTGCATGGTCCCTTTGAAAACCTGAAAGTTGACCTTCGAAATAGCCTAACGTCTGCACTCAGGAAGTAATTCAATAACGAAATCTTATGTTCCCCTTAAATCCCTACAACTTCTGTCTAATACATTTTTTAATATCTGACTTCGTTAAAAAAAAATCGACCTGCTCACTATAAACGCCCCACCCTGTATATAAACGTTAATCATTGCGCAATAGCGAAACAAGCATGAATACCATCTGGCTGGCAGCTGCGAGGCAGGCAGGTGCCCCTTCTTGCATTCTGCACTCACTTCTCCTTTCCAAGAGATGGACTTTCTTTTCTCTCTTTTTTATCAACCTCCCATTTAGTGCGTTCGCGTAGCAGCCAGCGATTTTATCGGGCATGATTTATCGGGATCTTTCATGTTCCAGGATCGCTTTAAATCTGCCAAAGGGGAAAGGACTAGCCGACCAAGTGGTCAGCATCCAGCCAAGAACCGGAGCCATTTAACGACATTGCTAAAAGCAGCTGGCTGAAAAGTTTCAGAAAATAATATTAACTCCCTGCATGGATCCTGATGTACATGGAAGTACTGAAGTATTCAATGGTAACTAAAATAAATTCTATCCATAGCGATGAAACTTGTCAAGAAACCCTATACATAAGAAAACTAATAATAATGGTTACTACTCTGATTATAAATGAGTTCCAAAACTCATCCCTATTTTAACTAAATATTTTCCACTAGAAAACCCAATAACTTAATAACTGAGTACTGTCTTCTAAATCTCTAATATTCCACTCTGTATTTTCCTGTATTTCTAACCTAACTAAAACTTCTTAGACAGACTACTAATCATTACTGTTCTCATTTTTCTGTGTAAGAATTACTCAATGCATATATATATATATATATATATATATATTTATTTATTTATTTATATTATAGCCACGTTACGTGACATTTCTATGGAATTTTAAAGCGATAACAACCAAGCGATACGAGAGCCAGTTACTTGCAATTGTAATAGTATCAACAAACATTGACGCACGGTAGTAGCAGGAAACGCTGTCAGAGAACAATTTCCGCCTGGCATGATATTTACAAGGAGCAATAGCACCATTGGATATATCCAATATACAGTAATACTAATCAGCAACGGTTCTTATTGACATCACGATTCATGCAGATTACGACGTTTGTAAACGTAGCAAAGCAATTAGGAGTATCGACGACCCGCTAAGGATCTACCTGTCTCTGATCTGCCTTTCACCAGCCAGTGGACCACGATCATCACGACACATAATTTTCCAATGTTTGGATGAATCCAGGAAGAGATATCGAATCAAGGAAGAATTTGGCCATCCTCAACAAAATTGTCGCAACCGCAAAAATATCACCGGAAGAGATTGGCACCGCTGGGATTGCAGACATAGTCACGTTTTATATATTCCGTGGGTGTGCGCTGGTCTTTTATTTATTTTTTTTTTATTTCCTCTCTTGGACCATCTTTGCTTGGGCACCCTCTCTCTCTCTCTCTCTCTTGATTCAAGAGAGAGAGGATACGAACGGCATAGCCAGTCGCTGTGTCATCGGGGTCCGATATATCATAAATATAAATTGGATGCTATATATATATATAGTAATCGTGAAAGTATGCTAGAGTATATGTCATAAGATATAGAAGTATAGAAAATGTGATAAATATTATTTAATTTCCGCGTTCGGACTCTAGACGAAGCTTTGTGTCATGATACATTTTGAATTGGCATTCTTATCGCGTTGTGTTATTACAGTCAGAGTATAGCCTGTACGCACCATATCGGATGTGCAATTTTTCATGTTCCCTTATATGTATAGTTTAATCAGGCGATTGTGTGTACTTCCTGAAGATGGTGATAAGCTCTTTAGCATTTAGTACGTATATGCATGAGGTCCCGTGAACTCTTTGACACGTTCGCGTCACGATTTCTTTGATAAGACAAATGGTATAGTTAAAAGAAAAAGGTATTTATTATATGAAAAACTTTTTTTTTTCTCAAAAACCATACTTCGAGTGTACAAATATATATAAGTTATGACTTACGTTCGTTAGATAAGGTTTTCCTCTGTTATCAATCGACCGATCGTTTCCGAGCGTCGCGACGCCCCAAGGCGCGTCTCGGAGTCCCATGCGTGTCCAAGCATTATTTAACGCATTTCTCGACTCCCTCGCGTAATTAGAATGCGTTGCGTGCGGCTTGTGGAAGCGTAGGAAGGGCGATGGACTCGGAGAGCGATGATACGAACAAGACAGCCCAGGGTTGAACAGCACAAAGGAAAGGCGTGCATTTGGTATTACAACAAAGTGCCGTGTTACAGTCAGTGGGACTTTTTGAGGTTATTTAGAGAAAAAAAAAGAGCGCGAATTGAATTATCGTAACCATAAACTTGGACCAAACCCTTAGTAAAATTTTTGTTTAACGAGTCCACGCCCTCTGGTACCCCGTATGAAAGCGGCCGTCTGCGTTCTCGGCAGGATGGAAAATAATTCCTTGTAAAAAGTAAAAGCTTAATTTACTAAGTGGTACGACATCGGATGCTCAGGGCGTAGATAATTTATATTATTGTATTTCCACACGTGGAAGCTACTCTTGCTTCTTATTAAAGAGGTTATGTCAGCCGTTCAATTTCCTATTGCTCTTTCGCGCCACGTTTCGAAAATGATCGTCAAATATGGCGCTACGTAATTTATGCCTCTGACTCTGAAGCCATTAAGGTTACCTAATACGGATGGTATACTTATGTACACGATGCTAACGTATAGATGAGATTCTTAGGCCAAAGCCAGACTCACACCCGGAGACTCGTTTGAAACGCGTGGGACATGTAATATTCAATTGCGTCCACCTCGGGCTAACAATAAGATACGGAAGTAACTCCACTGGCGAATGGAGTGGATATTTAAGAAAGGTCTCTCGTCACGTAATAAAGTAGTGCACGGTACCTACGTTACCTTATAAATAGGTTGAATGGAATCCTTTGTGAAAATATGGTGTAACCAGATACCAGAATTTTATGGTTAGCTCATTTTTTTCTCTTCACGTATCCACGTACACGAATTGCACGTTACGCTCAATATGTATTTTTGAACGATAAGGAATTCATTGTACAATTTAAAAAAATTTTATAACCACAAAATTCTATTATGGCTACTTATGGCTTTTATATGAATAATTAGTGAATTAGCTAACCTATACGTATGGTAATGTATTAGAATTTCAAAGTGAATTTCAATTGGTATCTTTTTTAAGGATATTTTCAAAATTAAAAATGTATGATATTACTCCGGACAAAATCTCTTCTTTCGACGACTCTCGTGTAATTCGAATTGCTGCACGTGAGAAATTGCGAAACCCGTATGAATTTTGATACTTGGCTGTTGAGAAGGAAAGAAAATCATCGAACAGAGTCGTTGCATAAATGTATATAATGAAAAAAATTTTTTTAATCATCAAAGACAAAAAATGCCGATTAATTGACAACTCGAGGTATTATGACCATTATCTTCTAATTTGTTTCAATTTATCGTATACGTGTCCCGAAAAATTAATATTAACGACCAACACGCCACTCGGGGGTCCACGATATCCTGTGGGACAAACCACGAGTCATCGTTTGCTTGGGTAAAAGAAGAGCAGTCAAGAGAAGGATGGAAGACAAAAAAAGAAGAAGTCGAAACCCAAAACCCCTCCGAGATGCATAATTCATCAAGTAGATTCTGGCGTTAGGGGCCCACCCTCAACGCACGATAAACGCTCGTAAATTAATGTAATCGATACAAAGGGGATGTTTTTGGAAAAAACAGCATCAGAGGTATATTATATATGTATGACTTTTTTGCATTGCTTTTCGTGGACGATTTTAGCTTCCCCTCTTTATTCATGGTAAAAATGGTTTTTTGTTTTGGAAATACCCATAACCTGTATACTGACCATAGTGGTACGTGGTGTGTCAAAAAACAGTTTATCAATGTATTCGATCTACTACATATTTCGGAAATACTTATCCGCTTCGAACGGACGCTGCAATATTTACGATGTGATTAACGGAAACACTACGTTACTCAAGCAGATACTTAAGGTCCCAATAAATTTTGGAGTTTGGGGATGAAAACCCGTGAGATTAAAATCTCGATATTTTTATCTTACGGTTACTGACCTGTGAACGATATAGAAATGCTGTCAATAGATAAAAAAATTTCACGGCTGAGTATCTTTTCTTTAGTTCCATAAGATAAGAAATTGTGCATATAAATAAAAGGAAAGTTTGTATTTTCACTTTGTTCTTATTTTAAAAAATTTTAACTTACTATACAATAACTACGTTAATTATTATTTTTTAATAAAAGTACCTTGCGCATCCAGTCGGTTCCAAATAATCCTCTCGCCGTTTGCGTATCACCCTTAATATAAGAACTCGTAACGAACGTTCGTTTATTAAGCGAATGTCACTTGACACAAATAGAACACGCGTCACTCACTCATGTAAATAGTTTTCATGTGAGAGTTAGTCCATCTGTCAAAATTTAACGGAGACTGCACGCTAACGGAACACCCAGGACGAACCGCCACGGTCAGAGTACCGGGCTGCACTGAAGAAAAGTTAGTCCGTCGCAACGTATTATAACACAAGGATAACCAACGGGCATAGGGCAAGCGAGACTGGGCGCCCCGTGGCACGAACCGAAAAGTTGTCTGGAAGAAAGGCGAAAAAATAAATCCTCTTCCAGAGCTGCTTTAACGATAGAAGAATGCTGAATTTGAAATCGCGTTACGATATAAGGGGATATTTTGGAATTTTGTTTCTTAATTTATTTTTTATTTATGGCAAATTAAATTCAACCCTATGACAACCTATACTCGTGTCAGTCCTTTGTTAGGAGGGGATTCTTGTACGCGTCGCGCCACTGTAATTTTCCATTGACGCAACTGCACCCCGTTTATTGCTTTTAGTGCCATAAGGAGCTTCATCCCCTAAATGGTAGGAGGGTACACTGGCTAGCATGGGATATTATGTATACTTGGATTATTCTATTCAACTACTAGAAATCGTTCAATACTTTTTCTTCTATTCAACCCTCGCCCTTGTTTCAATGTTTGGCTTTGGGGTAGCAACCCTCTGGTTTCTTTGGTAGATTCGAGCTACGAGCTCGTCTTGGACTGGGGAGTTTTATGGGATTTGGTTGATGCCATAGGTTGAAGAGAGGAGAGGAAGGAGATCTGAAAGGTTTGTGTCATTTTGGTTTTGAAGGGCTGGAAAAAAATGAAAGTCGCTTTTATTAAGGTGGCTAGGGGTTTTTAGGACTTTTTTTTTTTACTAGAAATTGAAATTTATGACAATCTCAAATTGACTTCTTGACAGTTTTCTCGTGTGGTGAGGTAATAGGAGCTTTTTGAATTTTGAGAGGATGTCTGAGAAAAAGCATAGACGACAGACGATCAAAGAGTTTAATAATTTACAGATTGGTGAGAAATTTTGAAAATGAAATTTTTCTAGATTTTTTTTTTTTCACCGGTACTAATCTCTTGATATTATTCATACAGCGGACACGAATTTTGTTAGTGAATTTCTTGAGTTTTGCAGAGAAGCCAATGTCTCGCCACTGCCAAAATTTCGAGTTAGTAAATTATTAGCTTGTACGGTATTTGTTACAGAATTTTTTTTTTAGGTTATGTCACCAGACAATAAAGTTTCCATGCAGTCAATTCACTCGAGCAGAACTATTACTTCTTCGAGCGAACGAGAAAATCAATTTACAAAGTACACGTGATATCATTTTCAAAATGTAGATTGGGATATTTTATAAAGATAGGAAAAATAAAATTAATGTATTTAAAATTTGTTTACAGATTCGAGGAGAAACACGCAACACCAATATTTCGCGTGACTTATGAAAATACTAAAAAATCGGAAAATCCACAGAAGCTCGAGTGCAAAGGTAAAAGAATATTTTATAAATTTTTTTTTAAACCACTGTCACACGATAACAATAATTATTTCATTATTTCTTAATGCAGGTTTCGAGATAACGATTTGCACTTTGGACGCTTTAAATCTCACTATGAAAAATTACAGTACCATCACGACACTCGAGTATACATATAATTAATGATTAATAATTTTTAATCACTAGTATTTGATTTAATTCAATTTTGCTAAAAAAATTTTAGATTGCCAAATTGCCAAATAAACGCTTATGGCATAGTACAGATATCTGAGATGCTTACGGAAATTGGTTGCATTAAAGATTTGAATTTGGATAGAAATCCAAATATTAAAGAAAATTATTATCTACTATGCACGCCTACGAACAAGTACGTGTTAATTTGTATCCATATAAAAATATATTATTCAAATAAATTCAACAAATGTTTCACGTTCGATACAGCCTCTTGTATTTATCATTGAGATCCTGCAAAATATCCGATGAAGGCATTCAAAAAATTACCAAAGAATTGGAGTACAGAGATCCCCCAGATAATCCAAAGCTTATTGCTTTAAATTTAGCTAATAATAATATAAGTCAAAGTGGCGCTGAATACATTGCTCTCATGCTGAGGACCAACAGGTTATTATAGAATATTTCTTGAAATATTTAGAACGAATTTATTTTTCGAAAAAAAATAATTTAGCAACCTACAAACAGATCCCTACGAAGTCTGATCCTGACCGGAAACAGGATATGTGATGGCGGCGCCGCATCTATTATTCAGGAACTGGTCATGTATACATATCATCACTCTAAAATGATATTGAAGGAAGTGGAATGGTTATAAACAGATATACAGGGTGGGGCATTTATAGTGAGCAGGTCGATATTTTTCGAAAACGAAGCCAGATGTAAAAAAAAATGTTTAAAGACAGAATTTGCGGGATTTCGAGGTGACCGAAAGATTCCGTTATTGAATTCCTTCCTGAGTGCAGGCGTTAAGGTAATTCGAAAGTCACCTATAATTTTTTCAATGGGATTATGCAATTTTTAGTCCAAACATGCAAGTATGCTAATGACCCAAAATTAACAGACGTCAATTTTGGGTCAATAGTGTATGTGTACTTTTGAACTCAAAATTGAATGCTCTTTTGATTTACTAAAGAAAAATTGCATCATCCCATCGAAAAAATTAATATTGACCTTCGAACTACCTTAACGCCTACATTCAGGAGAAAATTAAATAACGGTATCTAACGTCCTCCTTGAAACCCTACAACTTCTGTCTAAAACATTTTTTCATATCTGACTTTGTTTCCGAAAAAATGAACCTGGCCGCCAAAAATGCCCCACCTTGTATTCAGTCCACAAGTAAAATAGTTAAAAATAACAGATTGAAAAATGGGAAGTCCATAGCAAAATATCCCATTGTCAATAATTTTTTGGCAGAATTAATATGTGGTAAGTCTATGTAACCCAATATAAAAGCATTCATTGCATTTGGCAAAAGATTATAGGCGATCGAGAAATTTTCTAACAGGAGTTTCTAGCACAAAGCACGTGTTCTCATCTGTCACTTTAAGCTTGTTTACTTGTGAACCGACTATAGCAATTAGAATTCAATATCCTTCTGTCGTAACGCTTTAGGCATCACCTGTCACACGATGAAATCATCGAATTGAGACGTCGAAAATACGCCAGGATAATGTTACGCAAAGAAAAGGTAATTCGTTATAAATATATAAATTTGAAAAAAAAATCCAAAAAATTCCATCCCAGGTAAAGATGCTGGAAGAAATTTCAAAGCAAACGGAATCAAGTGACTCCAAAGGCAATCTCGACGAAAGAAATCTATCTGTAACGTCAACTCGAAAAGTGACGCGTTTTCAAAGAGTCAAAAGAAAATCTATATGCAAGTAAACTTTTTTTAAACGTGAACGTTATAGACATCCATAAATCATTTATCAACAACTAATGCCAAAACAGTTGGCAGACAGGATAATCCTAAAGCAAAAGAAACAGACGATCCCAGTACACTAAGATTAAACGTACAGTATTATCAATGAATTATCAAATTTTATTTTCAATTAAAAACAAATTTTCATTTTAGACCATAGAAGACATAGCAGAATCTATGCTGGAGCCTGAATATCATCCCTTAACCCTAGAGAGTACTCCAGTTAAAGGAAGCATGATATCAACAGGAAACTTCAAACTGCAACATCTAAACTTAAGCTGTAGGTCCTAAGAATTATTATTAATTTTTCTATATAATTTTTTACAAGACCTCCTACTGCGACACCTGTGTCACAAAGTCCAACTCCTAAGAATTTAAGTAAAATAGTTATTTATGCATTAAACCTGACTCATTGAGCTGACACAATGTTCATATTGTTCCCAGTCAACGGGCTGACGAACGTGACGTTAAAAAAGCTCGTGAGCTGCCTACAATATCAGGAATACATGACTCTAGGCGACTCTTCAAATGGCCTCATATACATATCCTTGGAGGTAAGCAAAGGTATAACCTATAGCATGAATAGCTGCATTGAAAAGAAGATATACTAAAAATTGCTTACTTTATCAGGGAAATGACGTAACAATGGAAAATACTGAAGATTGGTTCGGTCTGAAAGAATTGTTACGGATACGTCGTCATCCACTGCGAAATTCACACAGCGACGATTACAGAGAGTTGGTACCAGCTGAGAGTAAAATTTTACGTAGTAAAGTTACAATTAAGAATTAGCCTTTTCTTTAATACTTAAAATACTTTATATACGATGACCGTAGGGAATTTCTCGTATACCGCTAAATAATCAGTCGGAATTCGGTTGACTGCATTACTCATTCGTGCTTGTAATTCGACGTATTACGTGAGTCAGGAGATAGTGATTTTGTACGTAATAAAAGTGTGTCAATGATATAAATTATATTAATAATCATCTTGTTCAATAATGTCTTAAAATCTATGAAGGAAAAGGTTAAGTGTGTTTCTATGGAGGGGAGCACTGACTCTCATACGAATGGTACGTTGAACATAATGAACTGTGTACTTTCTGGAATTACGTGAATTATCTTAAATTCTTATCCAATGAACTATTGACCTCTGGAGTATAGCCATTGTCTCTCAATACGCTCAGAGATTAATTGAAACGCGCTTTTCACGACGCTCGGTCACGTTCGAGAGGCTCTCTTCGAAAATGTTGCCGCAGATCGCGGCCGCTGCCATTTTAACGAATATTGCCATTTTGGAACTGTACAATATTTACCTGGTTCAGTCGGAAATGGATTCCGCCTCATTAATTTACGAGGTAGATATTTGATTTTTCAACAATTAAAAATTCACTGCTTACGGGAACGAAAGTTCATTCAGTGGACAGAGGCGGCATCTGGTGTCAAATTTAAGAACGTATCTTATTGTATGTATATAATCTGTATATATATATGTATATTCCACATATCGCGCATCGTGTTTACCGTCTAGTGAATCAGTAGTTCGTGTTTGACAGAGCAAACTAACTTTTGCCTTCGTTGACAGAATATTTTTATATTTCACACGCTTTTGAAATTTTGTACACTGTTCTTAGGATACTGTGCTTTAGCATCAGTAGTTCTGTGTATAATGAAACTTTCTGTTAACATTAGAAATTTGTAGATAATTGCATATACGTATTTGATACTCGTGACCTGTATAGAGTATATAATTGTTGTACTGTATGTAGTATGTTGTATACATATAAATATGATTATCAATGACGCCGTTTATGGAATACTTTCGTGTTAATTGCAAATTTTTTTTAAAGATAAGCATGCTCGTTAATTCACTTCAAGTATAAATATGTGCATAATTTTTTGATGAATATATATTGAGAATTGGGACTATTTAAAGTTAAGGCTAATTAACAACTGTCTTGTTTCTGTACAAAGCTGGTTTTTATAAGTACAATTAGATATATTGACAAAAGCTAAATATCGGTGAGGGTTATATTTGACGTTCAAAAGAAAAATGTACGAAAACTTGTTCAAGAATCCTCTGCATCGTGTATTCGTGTATGGTACATTGAAACGAGGAGAGCCAAATCACGGATTGATACAAAATGCAGAGTTTGGTTATGCAAAATTTTTGGGAATTGGACGTACGATTAAAAAGTATCCACTTGTTATCGCAACGAAGTACAACATTCCATTTTTATTAAAAAAACCAGGGATCGGAAACGTAAGTATACATATCATATAAAAAAAGGGATCTAAATAATCTTAAACTTTTTTTTTTTCGAACAGCAAATATTAGGCGAGATATATGACGTGGATACTAAAATGCTAACAAAGTTAGATGAATTGGAAGAGCATCCCTCGTTTTACGTTAGAACAGAAGACGACGTCCTACTGTCACCAGAGTCGGAAATAAAGTCAGGAAATAATTTCGACGAGGTACACGGAGTCATAAAATATTGATGAGACCTTCAAATATATTTGTAGAAAGTCACATCGAGAAATTAATACATGACAATTTGTGCCCGACAAAGTAATATTTATTGCTCATTCTAGATGGCCGAATCGACAAAGGCGTGGATATACTTTTTACCAAAGTTCAAACCAGCTTTACTTGAAACAACTATGTATACTACATACAGTAACGAAGGAAGTCACGGGTTGAAGTATGCCGAAAGGTACCTTCGCGATACGTCGTTCAATCACAGAGAAGAAGTTCAATAGTAAAATAATAATCTGCTAATAGACTAAACCTTCGTTTATAAGGACTGATATAAATACGACGTGTAATGAAGCATTAAACGACGAAGATATTCCTTTGTCTCATTCTAGCGACAACGACACGGCAAAACCCGAAGACTTACTTTAATGGATTTAATTATAATAATCAGAGTATGTATTCAAAAGTTGTATTTATTTAATTACTTATCAATTTATTCTATCCGATTGAAAACATTCATTACTATACGGTACCTACGACTACGAATAAAAAGTTATTTTTTTTTAGATTTTGAAGCAAGTGTCCAAAAGCATAAATGGATAAATGAAGTTGAAATTAAACAGCAATTCATTGATAATTGATTTTTATTAAATTTATCGTCTTTCGCCACGTAATGCTCGTACTTCATCATTCTCTCTCTTGCATATTCTCCATGTGATTCTATCGCTTTCTCTCAGTCGTCATGAACAGCGATAAAAATTATTTACTTTAACAATTCTGTAACAAATCGCAGCCTAGCCTCGCGCTACTAAGATGTGAAAAAAAAAGAAAAATGATTCTGAAACAGTCTTCAAGGACACGCGAGTGTCTTTCCTAACGTGATCGCGATTTTGTCGCTTCGCCATCGGAAAACTCGAGTTCCTATTATAATTTTTTCCCTAGAAACTGCACTAAGTTCAGCGAGGTAGAATTTTCCGGGTTATATAAATAGACCCACGGATACATCTGACCTAAATGATTTGCGAGATAAATGATCTACCTATGTATTTATAGCATGGCTATAACGAACAATGAATTTCATGTAAAAAAACGACATTGGGAAACAAAAAGAGAAACAATGACGAAGAAGGAAGAGATAAATTTGGCGCTTGTTTCCCTTTTTTTTTTTCCTAAATGCATTTCGCGTCTGACGGTAAGAAAGGGTATCCTTAATAAATTGTACGACGCATCGCAGAGGAGAAATCCGCGATATTAAAATTCTTTAGGCAGTTCGCATTAGTCTCCTAAGAAATTTATTATAAATAATCACAATTTCATCGTTCGCTATACAAGGATAATTCAACTTCTCGGTTTTGCCTTCTACTCTCTGCCTAAATAAACGACCCGAGTTTTTACGCTGATCTCCCCCTGAGAGAAAATGAAAATCCAGTGACATTTTTGCACGTCAAAAGGATTCCAAAGAGGGAGACGAAAACACACTTTTAACTTACAAACTCTCTTCGAATCCCCCCACCCCCACCCCTATACTCTCCCATTCTTTACAAACAAAAACCCTTACCTAACAAAAATAATTAAACAAGCATCAACAAAAGCGTACATAAATCTGCCTTTGTGTGTTGAACATTCTTTTCCTCTTTTCGTCTCTTACGTGTCTAGTTCTTCAAGCATGTGTAAATTTGTTTCTGTCTTTCTCTCTCTTTCACACACAAACATTACTTTCTCACTCTCTCTCTCCCCCCATTTTATCCCAGTGTACGTGTGATTCCCATTCTCCTAACTTTTATCTCAATTGATATATTCATTCGTCACAGAGTTCAAAATTATCATGTTTTTATTCCATCGCTGCATTTTGTAACTCGCGGACTCTATGTTTTACTTATAATGCACCGTCCCGAAGCCCAGCCCCGGAATTTGTTTTTCCTATCTGTATACATTATACGTATCTTAATTTACCTAGACATTTCTCTTCGTTCGCTTACGTACCTACATCTTTCGTTTATACAGTCACGTTAGAGGCTAAATGGCCTAGACTGTACTGACGTGAACTTCAAGTGAGACTTCCCGCGAGTTTCACACGTTATTATTATACGAAGATATATATGACGACTATTAAAAGTCGCAGCAACGAACGACTAGCGTGCCGTCACGGCGTGAGGTAAAACGATACAAATTATGCTCGTCACTTCCATGACGAGAAATATATTATCTACATGCATGAGAGCGAGACGTCACCGATGAAAATCGTACGAATGGCAATCGGCGAGGCGAATGAGATGTGTGAAGATGTAGCATAGCACCATATGTACGAGAGGCGCAAATACGCTTCACGCCATGACGGTGAAAACAATGCGAAGAATAGGTTGGCGTCGTAGTCGTGAGCTTTTCAGGCTTGCGCGGAGCTTCCTTCATGAACTTAAGTTTAACTTAAAACTTCCAGTCGATAGAGAAGAAAAATATTACGCTATAACGAGATTGCCATGCTAAACGGAAGTACGCGTATCACACGTGTTCCTAAGAACGAGCCCACGTGCACGCGTAATATTAATTATTTATTTCATGTTTGTTCTGTTTTTTTAATTTATCTTTTTTGTTTCGCACCACCGTTACTACGATTAAGAATCTACGAGCCCGTGCTCGGAATTCCATCGTTTTTTAAACGACAACACGTCACAATTAACTATTATGCTTTTTATTCGATACGTAGGTTTTTCTCTTCTGTCCTGGGCCTCGAAACTGAACCGTATTTACGTATGCACGAGTAGTGCGGGACAAATTTAGAACCTAACCTATGAATTATGTTCGGGAGCGTAGCTGAGCCATGGAACGTGGCGAGGCGGTGACGTATTGATTGTTTATCGTTTGATTGGACCGAAATCGACGTTTTCAGCTTTGATCCTGCGACAGGGCACCATATTTGTTACCCAATGACAGTTTGGGTGCCTGAGCTTGAGCTTCTTGCGCATTGTATGCTGCTCTGCTCCCACCTCTGTTACGAACTTCTTCGAAAGAGCCTTCGTCTCGCTTCCTGTAATTTTATTATTGACATAATAATTAGATGATTTAATTATCATCGACATAAATAGTAATTAAAAATTTTGACTTACCGCCTACCCCAAGGACCAGTGGGCTCTGAACTTTGCTGCTGTTTCGAACTAAGTGTGGGGAAATACTCTTCACTGTTAATATCTGGTGCAATGTTCTTTGCTCGTTGTCGTGGACTTGCTGATACTGTTGGAGCATTTCTTAAGTGAGGAGGCTTATAGCTGCTACCTCCTGTAGGAGGCTGTACGGGTACTACTACTTCTACTTCAGGCTGTGATGGTGGTGCATCAGGCTTTTTCCAAGGACCGCTGTGCTTAGAACCAGCTTCTCCAGATTCGCCATCGGAACTATTTTCGCCAGTACCTCTTTCGTCATCTGATTCAGCATCTGCAGTCTCATCAACCGTCAGGTTACCAATTTTTAAGCCAGTATAGTCCTTCTTCTCTTCTTCAAAATCCCTCCATTCATCTTCCTCCTAACAAATAAAAGAATCCATAGAGAAACTTGTCCACGGCAGTTCTAGAATTTTCATGAAATGTAAAATAATACAATACGTATGTTTCTCTTGAATTCGCAAAGCCACCGGTACAAAAAAAAATGAGGAAGAAAAATCAGAGCAGCACTACTCTCAAACTTTTTCTATATATATTTAATGGGTCGTCCGACATCTGAAATTTCTGGCCGCTGGCCCAGACAGATAAGTCGCATGCAATTCGGCAAATCATGCGTCAGGAACGTCTAGAAAACCCGTGGGAGGTCCCTCCATAACAGCTGGTGTCCCGTGCCACCATACATCCTCGAAGAACACCCTTAAGAAATTTAAATACATCCTATCGTTCCCGTTAGTTACATAACGATCGAGCAGAAATCTTAATTTCGAGAAGCTACGGGGCATCCTACACCTAAAGCAACAGAAATGCACGCCGAATAATTTCGAATAAACCGGTCATACTAACTTAAGTGACGTTTCCAAGATCAAACATGGCAGCGGCCTATCCCCATAGCCTAGATTTCCCCATATACCGAGCATCAATCCTCAAATGCAACTGGCCTACATATATATTATTTCGGAATCTTTACCTCAACCTGCTGAGTCTCCTCGCCTTCTGGATTCGATGGTTTTTCTTTTGGTTTCGGCTTTTCCGTCCGCTTTCCCGTTTCCTCCAACTTCTTCGCTATTTCTTCGGTCGTCGTGAATTTTTTACCCTTCGCCTTCTTGCGATCCTTTTTCGCAAAAAAATCGTCCAGATCCGCCATCGTGATACGAGTTACCGAAGAATACGCACGGGATTCTTCCAGAAACCTTCAAAGCAACAGACACTGCCTTAGCGCGAACTGATCACTAGCACCGTTGCTGTTCACCACATGGGCTTGCTAAAGCCGGAAGTCACCAGTTACTCCGGCATCAAATTCAACACTTGAACACTCCACCACTTTTAAAACCAGACACACAAACTCTTTTATTAATAACGAAAAATTACAATTTATCAATCTATATATACAAACAAATAAATTTCAGGATTTTATAAGAATAATCATTACGTTTCATATTCGAATCAACACTTATTGGCGCTGTCTGTCTAGCAGAAGACTCCTGGGATAAGATATAAAATATAAACCTTTCTACTCGTGGTAGTACGTACCCTGTAGACGTAGTACACCTTTCTGAACAGTAACCACAGTCTACTCCACAAAAATTCTGGCTTACACAACAACAAGCTGAACAATGAAAAAGCAATGATTTCGAAAAAAAGAAGCTTGTACAATTTAGTTCCCCCTTTTTCCACACGATCGTGACTGCGCTGCTGTAATGCGTCACTTCCGAGATATTCGAAGTCGCCTACATGCTTAGTGACGTTTTAAGTATCCTGAAGACCCTGTATATACTTTTCCTGCACAAAATCCTAAACAATCAACTAGTGATCCTAATTTACTCCACGTAACGTACCTAATATCATTGTACGTAATACATACCTTAATCACTTCTATCACACTACCAATTTTATGATCATGACTATTGTTTCATTAACGACACATGTGTGCACAGGGTGCCATCAAGTCCTAACTACGTCCTAGTCCCAGGTCTGTATCAAAGCATTCGTTTGCCATGCCCAAAATATTTCACTAAAGAAATCTTTAGATTCGTCTTTGGCTCAAAACCAACAATCGGTAGAACATTCTATACGTTGGATCAATGACTACGAAGTACTGCTCAACATAGATGTCTCTAGTATCTTGAACAAGATCATGTACAGCTGGCAACTCAAAGTTATCAAACTGGTCTCTTGTCACAAACCAGTCGAGCGCCGGCGTCGCCTGAACTTTTGCCATCGTACCAGTCGACAAAACTCTGTTGAACCAATCTCCACCATCACCAGGCAGAATTCAACACTCGTTGTATTAACAAGAGAAATACTTTCGAATTGGGAACAGTAGAGGAGCGTAGTAGAAGACATCACATCTCAGTAGAACGAGACATACTTCCGTGGCTCAAAAAGTTAATGTGTTACTTGCATCAAAATGAAGCTTACGAAGAAGTGTTTCGCAAACATCACCAAGATGTTGGACTTTTATTCGCAGTTCAACCCTTCGCCGCTTTCGATAAAACAGTTCATCGATTTCGGTGAGTACTTACGAACGGACCTCTCTTGATTTTATATTCCCTTCTGTTCTCTCGTGCAGCTCGGCTATTGTCATTGTGAATTCTCGTTTCTTTAATCCATGTTTCGCGTCCAGGGAAACTTGCGGATTATTTTCGGTCTGAATGCTACCTTAATGCCAAACTTTGGCGAATCGTAGTAACACGGCTGCTCGAAATTGATGGGCGTCGTTGCGTCAGTATTTTTATTATTCAATCAAAACTTCTCTCTTTTTTCATATTGAACAAATTTCATTCCATGTCACTGCCTTGGTATATGTTCTATCCAAGGAGTTTGACTCATTGTTTGAGGGGCTTTCGCATTTGTACGTGCTAGGAATTGCCGTGGCCCCAGAGATGCAGGTATGCATCCGACGTACAATAAAGTAAGATAGAAAAGCGAAACAGTCACCGCTATAAACTCACATGCTTACATCACTAGAGCCTGGGGCTTGTATAGCTATACAGATATATTCTATACATATATATATATATATATATATATATATATATATATATATATATATATATATATATATTTGGTACGGAAGGTTAGAATTCCATTGTATAAAATTATATTGGAGAATTAAAAGCATTTTATATTCTGAAGTAATAAAGAAATGCCAAATCCCTATATCTCGGTTGTATTCGCATTTCGCTGCCTATTTAGAGTTTATAAAGAACATTAGAACAGCGAGAAATTATTGTTATATCTGATTCTGCAAAGAACTCAGAACGATAAAAAAATGGGATTTTTTACCCTAAATTTCCAAATATATTTGTGAAAGTATATTAACACATTTGATAAATCATATAATTATTAGACTCGACTAACATATATAAAAATAAAAACAACCACGTTTCTGTTTTATTTTTAATTTAATGCGCATTTTTCCAATAGAAAACGATAATGTCGAATATATTATTAATTGTTGGATCATGAACATTCTTTGTTTACCATACTGACCTTTTTTTATCTAGTCAATTAATCGTATGATAATTCACAAGAAAATGTACAATCTAAATTCATTTTTAAAATACCTCTACCATGTAAGTGGTCAAAGAATTATCCGATAACAGTTTTAGCATAGATTTTTGCAAATTGCGAAAAATGGGTCACGTCACGGTTCTTTTTCCTCTCCCCTTTACAAGACTTTTCTACGACTATTTTAGAAGGCGAAAAAAGGCGGTAGTGCGAAATTCAGACTGCCGAGAATTTTGTCTGTTCAAAAAAAGAAAATTCTAAAAACTAATTCACACCGAAGAAGACTCACACGGAACGAGGCAGTGCGTTGGTCTATTGCCAAAATACATGTTTAACGATAATCAACTTCCAGTTACAGATTAGAGCGATTGAACAAAATATCACATGAGCGCCAATGAACATCGTATCTGTTTATTTTTTGTTAACTTCTTTAATGTACTTTTTCCTTTTCTCCAATTTCACAAGTTTTTTTATTATCAAAATAACTCACTCAACTCGGTTTCTTACATCAAGAACACACAACTGAGCTGAATTATTGGATTAATATTGTGTACCTAATATAGGTATCAAGCGTGAAATACATAAATTCAGTGGAATTATTCATAGCGTATAACTGAACGTGAAATATAAAAGCGAAAAAAGTTCCAAACAGGAAAAATTTTTCAATTACAAAAAATTACAAAGATTTGAGTTTTCAGGCTAACTTGAGAAACTTTTGCAGACACGCGTCAAAGACCCAGCGTGATGAAAGGGCAAGATCATAGTTAAGGACAATGTCATTTCGATACAATGTCAGCTCATCTTCTAACAATCTACAACGACAGCTGCGCCCAGAATCGCAAATATTAAAATTACGTAGAATGTCATTTCTGTAATTTCCAAGTACACGTGGACCTTGGAATCAAAACACTATCTTCTTAACTCTTACGCAGCCTCAAGATGTCAAAATTTACAAGCAACATGAGTCACTAGTAAAACCAATTTTTTCTCGAATATTGAACACATTAAATTCAACTCATACTCACGAGTATCAGAAACATAAAAAGCCAAACGCGTCCATGCATCGATACTCTCTAACATTCATTCGTTACACCCCAAAAATTTTTCATAATAAAATAACGACAATAGAAAAAAGTCCCAGTGTCATTCTTCTTTGTCCCAGTGATAACCTGTCGCTTGAATGCTTCCATACAGACGCTTAAGTATCTATAGACACTGGAGAATATTGATCATTGAATGGCAATTGAAAGATGACTCATAGCAATTGAATATCTCGTTTTCAATATCATTTTTCTAAAACGCAAAAGACCATATTCGAATTCAGTTTACATTCTAACCGCATAGAGACGCTGCCGCTGTAACGTATATTTTTGAAATCCCACGGTCAGGGGGAAAAAGGGGGATGAAAGAAACGAAGCGTGCGGGTAGGGGCTATAGGGGTTTTCAATGGTACAAGTCCCAGTAACTTTCCACGGGTTAATTCCAAGAAAAATTTCAACAGCTTGCCAGTCACGCGTATGAACTTTGTATCCAAGATCAATTTAGAAATTTTTTTCTCGCACGTGTGCAGGGTAATTATAAAACTGTACTAGTTCTGCTTTTGTACACACCCAGTACTTAGTTCAACTTGGCTGCAAATCGAAGTAGAACATGGTTCAATCTTCATTGTCAATCTTCTTATTGGCACAGACGTTTTTATCCCATTTGCAGACCTATCGGAGTTCTCAATCCGATTACTTCCCTTAATCAATAAAAGTGCTCGCTACTATTTTAAGCATTAAACCAACAGAAGGTTTCCAGTTTAATGAATACGTAGGTTGTACTTTTTTTCCCGTAATTATACCTTCTGTACTTAAGCATACTTACCGGCTCTCTTATGCGTCTGCTGTTTCATGTATACTTTATCGCGTTAAACTGTCTAATAAATACAAAATTGTTTACCTACGAACAGTACGTGTCTTTAAATGTCCATGACCGCTTTGTACATATATGAATGCATATCCAATAATTTACATCTGTAAAATACGTTGGGAAGCTTCCTGTGTTTATCAAGTCTTCTCCCGTTTTTATTATTGTCGACCGTGTTAAAAAAGCCCATTGCAATTCGTCAAGGCGCTGCGATGCATAATTTGTTTCTTCGACAAAGAATTCAATGCTAAATAATTGTAATTACACGTGTCGCGAGAACTTACCTTGTTGACAGGACGAGCCTGTTATTTTGATACAGAAGCGTCGGGACGCTGAATCCCCATTAGACTTACGTAAGCACTGAATTGATGATTTTTCAGTAAACATTTATATATACAAGTTCTATATAATTATTATTATGAGCATTTATTTTAGCACACAACACGCACAGCTGACAGGATATATCTGATAGAGGTTGAAGGTCGTTCCGTCGCTAAATATTTTTCCCATAAATGTACCGTTTGATTTTCAATGCTGTTACAAAAACTGCTCGCTGTATTTTACGATTACGAGTCGTTGCAAGACCTGTAAATATTGTATTAAACCGTGTAAATTCAACGAGATAAAAATACATAACCTCAATGGGTAACAGACTAGACTTCGTTTCGACTTTCAGACATGCATATACGTTGCTTTTTAATAATGGTCCTTTATTTTTCAGTACTTTGTTTTGTTACGACTGGCTTATCTCTTACGTTATCGGTTAACCGGGTATGTCTGGTGTCACGATAAGTCTTCTTGTTATCAGATATAGAAATTGTCATACGATAAAGACTTTAACTATACCGTTGGCTTTGACAAGTCAAAACATTTCGAATTCTCAGAAATCAGTGCGATTATTTTATATCTGTTTATTCGGATCAAATTTATCAACTGAACATGGTTTTACCATAGGGTTCGAATCAAGACGCTAACTTCAAGTGGTACTTTTGCAACTGAATAATTTGGTACACAATTGACTGTTAGGCATTGATAATAAGATTCCTATGTAGATCTTAGGCATTGATACTTGTTTATGTGACGTTAACATTTTTTAAAAGTAGTTTATATACTCTGAAGGTTTCGGACCACCTGGTTCTTCTCAGCGAGTATTATTTATGATCATTGAGAAAAGTTGGAATAGTACGTGAGTCGGTATACTTGGAATTTTTACAGTTGAAATGTCGTTTAACAAAGTGACCTGCTCGATTATGTTTTTTCAACGTACGATTACTCATTGAGTAAATCGTTTACTCAGCTTAGTTACCTTTGTCTGTATCCTACAGCAAGATGCGAGGCGGCTAGAAATATTTGAATATTTTTTAATTTTAAAAATTAAATATTTTTTGTATATATATATATGTATATGAGAACGATTTCAAATAGTGTACGTCTGTTCGTGATGGCGCTTTATTTTTAGCAGACTATTTGTGTGAATTAACAGACTCCAAGTAGCTTGTATTCGTACTAATCAGTGATCTTCGTTCCCTATCGTGGTTCAGCGATGATCGTCGTGACACGATACGCTTATGCGAGAAAACTTACGATAACAGTATGTGGAGAGATATGCTGATGCCTTTAGAAAATATTTTCGGTGATATAAAAAATTAGTTCGAAAATATAAACGATGTCCGGTTGTCAAGAACGATTGCTTGTTTACCTCAGAACGATTGAGCGTAGGTATAGATTATGCGATATAATATGATAAAAATCCAAAATATTAGCATATAGTTAATCCAGCTAATATGGTTTGCTAAAGTGTTCTCTTTGCTCCAAGGACAAAAACACATGTCTGAAGTCGTAAAATTGTAAATCAAACCATAACGTTGATAAGAATAAGATTTTAAAAGTACAAGTGTCCTCAAAATCTCGAACTTACATGCATATATGTACAGTAAATAAATTTGCCTAATACCACAACGCTTGTGAATTTCTCTAATGAATCACGCAGATAACAGATGCCATGTCGAAGAGAACGTGGTAACAGAGTTACCAAGAAAACGTTGGAAAACGTCTGTTTTATTTTTAAATTTCACAGTCTATTACCGTTAAGGAGGAAACCGTTAGAAATGCGTGAATTAAATGTGAAAACATTGCAGATGCCGTGAGAGGTACGACAAACTAGTAAATAACGCGTCAAAGTACGAACTACGTAACTGAACATCGATACAGCTGTCAGTGGATACCAAACGGAATGTTATTTTAAATATTTGCTTATATTAATCAGCATATAGGAAACGTTATTATTTCTGATCTCTAGTCGTATCAAAAGAGTCGCGTGATTATTCGCCATTGCAGCTTCGGGCTACTTCTGCTCGTTTACCACTCACCGGATCACGAGGTTACTCCTGACTATCGTCACGTACAGAATTCATTGAGTAACAGCATCGTCAGTAGTTGCCGTGGAATCACTCGTATTACAATAATTACGTAAAAGTATGCGTAGAAGTGATAGAAGATGGAGTCCTGAGGTGGAAAAAACTTCAGGCCTGTCTTTCTAGCATACTGCACGTGCGCCTGCGTTCCGTTGCACCAGATTCAGTTACAGAAACCAGATGTGTCCACCGTACCGTGCGGGCAACGATAAATTAAACACAGACCGCATAAGCTGCGAGTCAAAAAATATTCTTATCGCTTTCTATTTATTAAACGTGATTCTAACATTTTTCAACAGCGCATTCCTTGCAGCTGGTAACCTTAAGCTGCCGCCGCCGCCCCCTGTACTGTCTGGCGGTTTGAATTTCCGACCGTTGAGATGTCTTGCGCAACGCTTGTTTACCTCCTCTTACTTTCCTTATTTGGAATTCTATTGGTGTACAGTATAATATAATATTTATACAAAAGTATGATATTGTCTCTTTAGCTTGTTTCTTTATTTACCGAAAAAGATTATTGTTACTATTTTTTTTCTTCGCTGCCAACCGCATCCCAGATGCTTCTGCATCGGTTGACGATTCGCAGTGTACTTTATGGCGTTAACGCGTCAACGAGGTATGACGATGAATTTGTCCTTGGAAAAAAATTTGTACGTAGCCGCTTGCACGTAGATGTTTTTAATAACATGTTCTTCTGGCTGCTTTAGTGCATTGCGTTGTTACGTAATCAGCTCAGTAGCCAGACAACGCTTCCACGAACTTTATTGTTGGAGCTGCAAAGGGGGCACTTAGATCAACCGGAAGTATCGAATTGATTATTCACACCGTCACGTTGCTATGATGCTTTGGTACATCCTTGATGATAAACAAAGGCTATTCATATCGTGGGAGGAACTTTAATCTAAGTGCATACTCATTTAGATGGAAAATAATATTGTAGCGGATTTTTCGGTCAAAACAATTGTGACGTCGTTACACAGAAATGAATACGCTGCGTGACATTCTCATTTTATGTCGTTTACCTCGTATATGTATTTCACGGTACAAATTTCACGCTTAATCATTGACTTTCACACGTTAATTTTGAAATTATCGAATTCCATGGAAACTTAAAAGCGCGTAAATACGATGAAAAATTATTGTAAGAAGTACATTAAGTGCTTATTGGGAATTCGATTGGTAGAAATTCAAATTGTTAAATTGTCAAATTTAGAAATGTAATAATTACGCGGAACAATGTCGAGACGTGGGAGTATAATTTTCTTATTGAATTAATAAGCCTAATTCCCAATAGGGAATTAGGAATGTAATCGTCAAACAATTCTAAAAGAGGCGGTATTGAAAGTTGTGGGGCAAGAAAGTTCAACGACCTGAAGTTTGAACGTAGCGTCTTGTGCAAGATATATTATACTATATACATATACATACAGTTATCGAGAATATCGAATGAACTGAAGTTAGTCGTTACATTTAAATCCTATTGTAGAACTACCTTCAAGATGGTGCGATGCATCTTGAGATAGAAGTCAAATGAAAATATAATGAATTTGAATTGATTTAAAATACCAGGAAAACTTTTGAGAGGTGCTCGAAAGTCAGGTTAGGTTGATGTGGCCTAAGCAATGATACTCGAATGATAGCTAACGAGGAATTACTTGAACAGTAGTGACTGATAACGAATCAAATATTTCAATGATATTTCGCGTGATTAAATTTGATTTGATATCGAGTCTTAAATATCGATCACGAAGAATTTAATCGATTATCCTATTTTCGTCGACCAATGATCTTTAATTTCACAGAGAAACAAGATGGAAGTGGTGTCGAGCGTGGCTTAACGAATACACGATACCCGTAGCGAACACGTGGTCAGCTATCTTTCTTTGATTTCATTTGAATGCATCAATAAAAATTATCTTTATCGATTCGGATATATTTTTAATTACTAAGAGATTTAGCAAACTATTAATCCCTGCTTGGTGATATCTTACGTGCAATAACGAGAACAAATTTTTTTTAATCTCAAAATTATCACTGCTGCAGTCGTTAAAAAAAATGTCAGAGTTACTCAATGCAGCCACTACGAACGCTTGATTCGCAAAGCCAGCCCAGGAGTAATAAGTGAACCTGCGAATAGCAGTCTAGCAATCCGTACGCAAGGCCGACCCAACCGCAAGCCCCGAGAATAACCTTCGAGTATAATCTCACATGTATGCTGGCTGCTATATAACGCAAGCAGCAAGAATATGGGTAATTAATTTTCATCAAGGTCCACTGTCAACGTTGTTGATATATCAACAATGCGTATACAGCTTGTTAGAGAAAAGTTCTTCGACCTCGATATATTAAGAAAGTCTTAGAACGGCGCGTAAAAAACAAGATGCGTTGTTACCTGTGCTGCTCTCAAAGTTTTTCCGATTGAAATATTACGTAGGTCGTGGATTTCATGTACAAAGTCTAAGAGTCCACCAGCTGCCACGATGACGTAAAATTAGACTATATGTCCCTTTGGACTCTGTACCGTGAAAGCAAGAACTATTTCAAGAGCCGGATCTCCGTAAGCGTAACTTTGACGTATCACACCTTTGGCCGAGTCCAGAAAGTTGAAGACTCTTGTGGTAGGAAATTTATTTTTGTCGCCGATTACGCGTACGTAAGATTGGCGATGTTCTATATTTTTCTTTTTCCTTCTTTTTTGTTGGGCTTTTTTTTTAGAACTTACCGTCTTCCTTCGGCTATATAGTTGGTCAAATTTATTTGGATATTCAGTCTGATTTTTTATACACACAGTTCACGTGGAACACAATCGCGGCCATTTGCAATTTTTTTAACTTTCTCGTAAGATTGTTTGAACGATCTACTTTTAGTATTTGATATAAATATCACAGAGCTAATTCATTAGTTTTCTCTCTTCGGTGTTGTTTCTGATGGGTGACAGATTTGTTTATCATTCTACAATCTAGTGACGATCACGTAATCGACACGCTATGTACATATATAAAGTCGAGTAACACGATACGCCACACTTTTGATATCAAGAGAACTGTGTAATATTGGCAATGGACGAATGTAAAAACATATGATAATTTTGCCAGATAATCGTTAATATCAAGATTAGAAATATAGGTAAACAAGCATGAATCCAAAACAAAATATAAATGAGGCAGAAATCAACGGTAATATTTTCACTAGGGCTAAGATAAAGTCCAATAATCAGAATGATCTTAACGCCATCATAGGTATCAATTCGTAGATACATATTATGTATACATATAGTTACACCTCTTAAAGTGAAGTGCCTATCAGTAAAATTAAAAAATTATCTAGCAAAAACATTTTTAATCTATTTTCCATTAAATTCAGTCGATCGGGGGTATTAAGAATAATTGATTGCTTGTATAATCAGTTATCAATATAAAGCGTGTTCTATTTTCGTTTGATTATTCACGTCGAAGTTCTTCAGTGCAATTTCATTTAATAATGGACAAAAAAACTCATAAGACTCCATTTTTCTCATTCGTGACTATGAAAGCTCCCTAACCTCATTTCAGACCAATTGCCCTCAAGCCGAACAGTCTGCTGCTCCTGACAGCAAAACAGACGCTTGCTGATTTCATGGAATAGAAAAATGACCGCTGTTCTAGAGGGGGAAATTATAACAGCAGCTGCAACGTATGAAAGCTGAATTAATTTCCAGAAGCTTCCATAACTACGAAGCTGGAATCATACCATTTTAAGTGATCGAAATTTTATTAGCTCGTACCTGATAGTAACGACTTTTTCATAAAAGCATAATGCAAGGCTGTAACGTCAATATTACATTTATACAGTATGTAAAGAAATTTAATCTGTTACATGATATTGCGAAAGATCTTCTATCGAAATTCTCAAGATAACCTCCATGACGTTTTCGATTCTGAACTTCTCTTGCTATCTTAAACTCGTTGAAAAAAATGTCGATCACGCTATATTTGGTACGAAAACATTTGACAGTTCTCTCACGCTGCGTTAAAGGAAGAATGAAATTTTAATTAATTGACAACTCTCACCCTTCACTCTGCCATTGTTGTCATAACGAAGCATGTCTGGCGGATCTTGTGTTGGTCGAAGGGTGACGTAACGTTCACTAGCTGGGTCGACCTGTTTGTCCATTACTGTGTTCAGTATGTTTGCTCTGTATTATGTATTTGCACTTATTACATACTATCCACGCCTAGGCGTATACCTGGAAAATAATTATGAAATTATACATAAATTGTGCTAAAGTCTATTAAGGTGTTACTTTATGTACACTAGAGGTGAACTTTTAGTATGTATATATCTTACAATGATTTTTTAATGATAATTTTCAAAGCGTTTGGATTACGATAGAAGAATCTTATTCTTGTAATGTAACTAGTGCAAGCTTGTAAAGCGCAATTGTCTCTTTCATACCGTAGATCTAGAACTCCGTCAATGATGCAACGGTTCGTTGCCCTCGATTTGTAGGAATAATTTATTGGCATCATTTTAACGTTCTCTTCCGCTTGTCATGGCACAATGACATTCTGAGATAGAAAATCCTCTTGATTCGAAGTGTTTTCAATGAAAAACATATTTCCTCTTCAGGAATTTTTACGTATTTTATGTAACGTACCTTTTAATATCGCTGGTCATCTCTACTTTCTGTAGTTTTGAGGTTATCGTGGCTATTGTACATATTGTTAGAATTGGATTCGGAGCTGGAGTCGCCCCTGGAAGTTTTAACTTTCCGATGTTTTGGTAAATACAACAGCTTGCTTCATCAGGGTTTGAAAATCAATATTCCTGGAAGACTATTATAATTATATTAGGACTTTTTGTTTCTTTTGTACAATTTTTTTCGAGAATTCTTACTAGGTCGTAATAAAAGAACTCGTAGTTAGACACGAGCGTGGAATAACCTTGTTTCGTCGCATGCTCGCCAGGTCGCAGTGTATTTTCAGAGCAAGTCAGCGTTGAGTCCAATGACACTGTGGAATTATTTAGAAAGTATAGGTCGATTAATTTCTTTTTGCGTTTTTTTTTCTCAATCGTGAAGACATACTTGCATCATTAATTTTTTTAAGTAATGATAGTTATAGTTTACAAGTGTCAATGTAGATGATCTTTCGACGAGAACAATTGATTTTAAGGGCCATTCCCTTATGACACTCAACAGAAAAGGGACCCCTGAATTTCTACTGTGCGTTGACTATTCGTTGCATTTGTTATTGGAGTAAATAGATAATGATAATTTGCTCGTGTTTTACGTTAAACTGTACATTCGTTATTTATGTGTTGCGATACCTCTGTACATTTTGTAATGTTTTTCAACGCGATAGGAAAGCATCGTTATGTCTTGTCATTTATTGTTACTGGTGCTTGTTTCCCATATTTTTTTAGCACTGACGTTTATCAGAATTTCTTAGTACGCAATGAACGATAATACAGTTGCGCAACGATTTTTATGGAACACTCAGACATAAATATTTTGATCTGTTGAGATGTCACAATAAAACAATGAATATGTAATACATATAAAAAATACGCGTCTTGTATAATTTGGATGTTATTTGATTAAAAGATCTTAACGACATCTGTTTATGTTTCAGGATTGAGCGCCTGCGAGCGGAAGTCGTTTATATTCTTGAGGAAGGAACTTCCGGTTCGGTTAGCCAATATAATGAAGGAAATTCATTTACTGCCAGAACATTTACTACGTATGCCCAGTGTGGGCATAGTTAATAATTTATATGCCACCTCATTCGAAGAAATTGTACACTTTGAAAAGGCTGAAATTAATGAGAGCACTTTAGACAAGTATGTTAATTATTGATGATTCTATAAATGTATCTATATCATTGAGGATTCCTAAATCATTCTTACCATTGTTTTATGTTCGCTTTATGTTTTCTAGATTCTGTCAGGCTTTGGTGAAGATCCGTAACAGACATGCTGATGTGGTGCAAACAATGGCTCAGGGCGTACTAGAATTAAAAGATTCTCATGATGTTGATTTATCGACAGAGAACAGTATACAATATTTCTTGGATAGATTCCTTATGTCACGAATTTCCATTCGAATGCTCATCAATCAACACAGTACGTAACAGAACTCAAGTGACTCGTAGCCAACTTATATTAGCCTCGAAACACTGATTCATATTTAATTTGCATCATTGTTTCATTTGCAGCACTACTGTTTGGTGGCATTTTAAACGGACATAGTAGACATATTGGATGTATAGATCCTATGTGCGACGTTATTGGCGTAGTAAGAGATGCATATGAAAACGCAAGATTCCTCTGTGACCAGTACTATTTGGCCAGTCCAGAACTTGTAGTCAAACAACATAATGGCAAGTTTCACAATGTTGATTAGTATATACGCAATCGTAAGTAGCTAAATGTTACATCCCATATTCAGTAGTATCATTAGTCAATTCAATCATAAAAATGTATAATCTATTATCGATGAATGCCACTAATTGAATCATCGCTAGCAAAGAGTACAAGTTATTTTCAGTAGACCATTTATTTTACAATAAATAATTGTATATCTCATTTTATTACAGAACTGGAACGTGGAAATGAAATCCGAATAGTATACGTGCCCAGCCATTTGTATCACATGCTCTTTGAACTGTTCAAAAATAGTATGCGAGCTGTTATGGAACATCATGGCGAGGATTCTGATAATTATCCACCATTGGAAGTTACTGTGGTTCGTGGAAAGGAGGACATTTGCGTTAAGGTAACTAACTTACATGTAACATAAAATATTTGAATTGTAAATTTCAAAAAATCTTAACTCGTATAACTGCATTCTTTTATAGATGTCCGACAGGGGTGGCGGCATTCGACGTTCTCAAACTGATCATCTTTTCAAGTACATGTACAGCACTGCCCCTCAACCAAGTAAATCAGATGCTCACACCGTACCTCTGGCTGGATATGGTTACGGTCTTCCATTATCACGGCTTTATGCTCGATATTTCCACGGAGATTTAGTATTATTAAGTTGCGAAGGTTACGGCACAGACGCCATTATTTACCTAAAGGTTAGTAGTTACTTTTCAGCTTATAATAACTCGCTAGATATTTCTGATGACTTAACACCGATTTCACTTTATCTATTTTCAATTATTCTCAGGCACTGTCGAACGAGGCAAACGAGCTATTGCCGATCTTCAATAAGACTTCTTCAAAATTCTACAGAACGACAGTTACATCAGCAGACTGGAGCAGTCAATGCGGTGGCGGTATGGCTACTAGACAATTAAGCATGAGTCATGCTCAAGGCCATAGGCTTCCTCATGGGATGCAGATAAGCCAATGCTAGCACAATCCCATCGGCATGGAACAAGACCAAGAAACTCTGGAGTAGGCGAATCGCGATATACTTCCCACCGGTCCGGCTGTTATATTTCTTCCCGTATCTTTTCTCACTTGCATCCATATTTACTCGAATGACAAGCACACCGCGTCTCCTGAACAAGAAGAGCCATATTGTCAGATGAACATTTATCTGAGTTGCGGATACAGATAATATGATATTAATGACGTACGTACGTGCTCGGCTAAATAAATAACATCAGACATTCGTGTGGGAGCATATCTGCGAATATTCTACGTCACCTTGGTCCTCCATGCTGCGTTACTTGCATAACGATTACATATCAAATCGAAGTTACAGATTTGACGATCGAAGTTTATTGTGCGCAAAGCTTACGATTAATTATCGTTAGTAATTATTGTAACGAAAGAGCAATTACCGTACACGGAGTTAATCTACATCCACTTGACTGATGTCACTGCATAACAGATAAAATGTCGTTCTTTCTCTTTTTTCAAATATTTTTTCTTATCACTGATTTAACGAAAAACAATATTTTATCGACGAAAGCTTTGCCTATTCATAAATATCTTTCAAATGCCATTCGTAATGCACGAAATTGATAATGACAGTGTGTTATCGATATTTTTGTAGGAATACCCCGTGATGACCGCTAACGTGCTTTTATATAGTTTAGAAGAGGGATCGCGTTTTGTCTTTTTTTTTTCCTTTAAGAGGCCGTTTTATCGTTCTGACAAGATTTCCTGTCGGTTCATCGAAATTTTTGAGCATACGACTTTTTTACTTGACGGGCGTATCCAGGATGCTACTGGTTGCTTCCTGGGGATAAGTCGTTATGTAATTTCGATGTCTGACGGATTTCCGAACGATACAACAAATCGCAATCTGTGATGCAATACGCGATTTTACTTTAGCTGATAGTCAGATATATACTTGTTATTGTACAGCACAACACACGAGTTGCATATATATATATATATATTTACATAAATATATACATTTATGCATACATTTTTTATTTATGTATAAATGTATATATATGTATACCATAGATATAAATGCTTATACGACAATTTTATGACTGTGCTGTCTATACATTGTGTTCAGGCGACAAAGTAAATTCATCACAAAGATACGGTAATCGGTAGAAGCTAAAAGAAACGTCGATCTAGACGTCCCAAAAAATATTTTGTACCATGCTAAAAGAAAGGATAAGAAAATTAAATCCTATCTGATTGCGTACTGTGTTACTGTGTACAATATTTACAAAATTTTTAGTTACGTTTTTTTTATGTAAAATTATTGCGCGATACTTCGAGGTCACCGGTAATTCGAGGAATGAAACGTAATCGAGCATAATACTTAAAAACAGAAAAACCGAGTGTCCAAACGATAGACAAATTGTAGATAGAGAAATGTCTAGGAATGAGTAAATTAATTGTATAAAAAAATGTTAATGACATCACTAACGTTCATTAAGTGATTATCCCACTTATGAAATAACGTGATAATTCGCGCTCGTCCAATTGTCAATATCTCAATTGATATTAAAACTACTTTTCCGACATGTTTCTTTCTGTTAAACTTCATGATGCCATTAAATCTTGAGACTCTTATTCGATCCCGGTTAATTTGAAACATGAATAGCAAATCTGTTCCTAATCAGACCAATGTGTAAACTGTTATTGCATGACGTTTGCGACACCATGCAATCGTTTATGTATTTTAATGAAAATACATTTTAGGCGTATACTCAATCATTTATAGCCGGACACTGATGTCATATTATTTAAAAATTATTATTACGCCTCATTTCAAGAGTTCATCGAGCGGCGAGATATTGTATATATGTACCACCTGTGTATATAACAATAGAGCTATTATTATAAATAATAATTTACAATCGCAGCGTGTAAAATATATTATTTTTAGGTTACCATATAGACAGTGAACGACAGTTTTAATAATATCCGTGCTAATCGCACTTGCAGTCGCACTGTAAAATACTGTTAACGTAATAAAGATGTTGTCAGTGATTTAGAAATTTGCTTTCTTCTCCCTGGAAATATTTTTTAAAGGATATTCAAGGAACCTGTGGGATACATTATGGTTTTAGATTTTGGTAAATTAATTGTTAATGCATTAATGTAATTTTATTACGTTTGGCTATGCACACCACATCGTTTTTCTATTGACAAAAAATAATCTTTGACCCCTTCTCGTTCCCGGTGTATCTGAACCTCATGAATTAATAAAAAGTACGGTCTATCAGTAACAGTATTCCACGTGTTATATAAAATAATTCTACGCTATGTACAAGAAGCCTGGCCTCGATCGAAGTTGCGCAGTAAAATTTTTAAAAACGTATTGGCGCTGTTAATAATAAAGAAAAGGATAATAATCGTATGACTAACAACAGCGAAGAACGGTAACAATTTTAAAAAGCATTTAGATAAAATAATTGTTTTCTTTTTTTCGAGGTCTAAACTAAAAGTGAACTTAATTATTAAGGAATAATTGACGGAAGCAAATGAGCCATTTTCTTTTTATAACTCGTTACGGATTACATATAAGTTAACAGTTCATTAAAAATATCTCGACCAGGAATTTGTAATAGAACTGTCACTGAAGATTCATTGAAACTTCTTCTAACCTCTATTTTGTTACATTTTTCCGTATTTTTTCCTTTTATCTTTTCTCTTCTTCGTCTACACTAGAAACGTATATACAGCATGGCAGTGATTATACACTTCTAATTCCCCATTGCCGTACACGACATTATTTCCTCTACCAAATTTTTAAGTTACATTTGCAAACTCATTTACGATTACGCAGTGATCACAATTTTGACGTGGTTTTACTCATTCGCTACCGATTCGATTCCATAATTTCGTAGACTTTACTTTTTTCAATTTTCTTACTTCGTATCATCCTTTTTCCTACTTGGATATTCAAGTCACAGCGTATCATCGTTATTGCCTTGGATCAGAATAACACGTTGACCTCTGCTTATGCAAAATTGATTATAGTGATTACAAATTTTAGTTCTTAATTGGAAACATATTTAGACCACTTGCAATCTTAATCTAATCCAAATTATACGTATCAATTGAAAATATACGACATTGAGGTCTTTTGTTCTTTGGAATTTGATATAACGCTGGATGATTCAATTTATCACACTCAGGATGATCGAAGACATGAAGATGATCGCAGTTGACCTCGATTACTTTAAATATTGTGTTTTCTTTACTTTGCATCGTATTCTTGAGAACGAGATAAAGGAAAGTCGAAAAATCAGCCAAGCTGATTCGAACGAGAATTGCTGATGAACTCATTGCTGTTATGAAACTTATTACCTGATAATTCGTTACGGTTAATGCGTTTACGCTCGATTACAAGTCTCATACGATAATTAGCTGAATGTTTATTAATCCTAAGATGTAACCAACTACGTAAATAGTTACTTCGATAATAATTACTCTTTATAATCTATCAATATATATTCATCACAGTGCTACGGACACAAAATATTGTGTTCTGCTTATACGTGTAAATAATCTTTTTTTTCATCTTCTTTTTCCTTTTAATCCTCGCAAAGAGACTGGCGATGGGCGAATCTTATATTGGCCAAAATAAAATTCGAAGTGACGACCTTATAAACATGTTTTTTTTTTTAATTTATAAATCACGAAGAGAAAATTTCGAGCCGATTTAACATTGTTAATGTATACACCAGATTAGGTGACATATATAAATTATTATTTCGATCAAGTTTTCATTGTGATATTATTAACGAGGCATAAGCAATTAGTTAACGAGAAGAATTAAAATAGCCGTAGCGAACCGCATTTTCTTTTCTCTCAATTCCAGAAGGGTATTATGAAAATATATGTTATATACATGTGTTATGCATATATCTCTTATTTCGAAATTCTTATTATTTTTGGAAAAATGATTCGCCCCTCGCTAATTTCTCTCCAATTACCGTTTCTCACGCTTTCTATCTATATCACTTGTTTCATATTTAACGTAGGGTGCTACACACACATGGCAGTATCATCCCACATGAAAAATTCTTACATCTGACTTTAGATATGACTATATTTACAAGAAACTGGTTGATTGAGATAATGGCGTTCTAAGGAGATCGTCCACCTCGCGACAAGAGCATGTCAGGCAGCAATTAAAGTCTCTCTCGTCAGTTTTGTTATCGATCAGCTAATCGGATATGCGTTCACGTAAAATCGATACCCAATAACGACGTTATATTCGCTATGAAAAAAAAAATAGAAATAAATAAAAGAAAAATAAGGAAATCCACAAGATGAAAAAAAAAACGTATCGTCGTGTTACGTACGAGCATATTCGATGGCCTCTCTGTATCTCATCTCACTACTTTAATTGCATTCTCGACAATAATTTTCACGAGAGAACCTAAACTTATCTAATTAATTCGCGCTTTGCGAACTACGACACAGACCTCCGTCAGGACGATCAAAATTTGTAATCTGTATTAAAAAGATTATAACGAAACTACACAACACGACTCTCGACAAACCATTGAACTGGGATCTGTATGAACTCTGTCTAATAGTCTTTCGCCAATTGCACGAGTACAAAAGAAGAAAAAGGAAACAATGAACAATTAACAAGAATAACTAAACTTGATCGTGACTCGGCAAAGTCCGAATGACCGATTTTACCACAATCTCAAACGAAACAAGTACAACCTTATCCATGATTAGGAATGATTTTTTCATCGATCGATTCTGAAACTAATTGAAAATAATTACTTGGATACGATGAAAGAATCATTAGCCTTTATATCCCGTATCTCTCTCAATCTCACTCTAAATCTTATGTACTCGTACTTTAAATAATTGTAATAATCACTCCAAGATTTCTAGGCTGATACGACAAGACTCTTCCTGGTTCAAACTTCCACGCCGAGCGGACTGACCGGACGATGCGGTTGACAGCAACTCCACGGGAAGAGCCACGCGGTTCAGCATCTTGGTGAAAATTTTGGATTTGTAGGACCGTGGATGTAACTCCTCAATTCTTTTGGTGGTTCCGAGCCGAAATCGGATGCTGTGTCGACGTCTGACTTTCGGCAAATAATCATGCGGATGTCCGTATGAAGGTAAATTCGGCCAGACTTACCAGACATAAACCTAAACCATATAGACAATTACTCCCGTCCGTTATGCATAAATAATATTCCATATCATTTGATTCCATGCAAGCTTACCTAAGGTGAACGAGGTAGCGTAATGTTTTGTCACGCAGTGTTCTCTGACGTAAAAAAGTATGAGATCGTGGCGGCATGTCAGAAAGATCGTACAGTACTACGAACATTTTGACAACAGTGCCTAAAGGATTAAGAAGAGTCACTTGAATGGTTCCACTTCTTGGTACTTGATAACCCTTTTTACTTAAATTAATATGAGCCTGAAAAGGAATAAAATCTATAGTATAAAAATCAATCGCACATTAAGATAGATCATAAATATTTCTAGATAAAAAATACGTACGAGGTATGGTGTAGAGACTTTGTCATTGTCTCCCAGGGTATAAAAGAACACCGTGACCGGAAGCTTGCGATGCTTAGGACAGAATGAGCCACTGGCACCAAGTTCAGCTGTGAACCCATGAACTGTAGACACTGGTTCTAGCCTTCCATTGAGTGCAGATTCCTCGAAGCTTCCAAGAAGCGCATGACTCTGAGGTCGTCCACGTGACGTTGAACGTCTCTTGGGTGTTTCCTCGCCCTCGCCAGCAGTCTCGGTCTCCCGGTCGGCCTCCTCCAGGGAAACGGCACCAGGACTCGGCGGGGTGTTCAGCTCGAATAGTGCACTGCGATTGAAAGGTTGCAATGGATACTTTCAAAGGTGACCTTAGCCTTTCAGGGGGAATAAATGAAAGCTTGCGTGAATGAATAAATAAGTGAACTCTACTGGGAAGAGATGAACGTCGAACAATAGAATGACATTTAATATGACGGTCCTTATTGGAATAAATGCTTTGTAGCTGAAGATCTATCATTCCTTGGGATCCTTTATTACCTTCTCTTCGAGGAGACTGAATTCAGACTACTGTCATAGTCAAAGCAGCAACTCCCTCTTCTCAATGGAGCTGGACTCGAAGTCAGTGGCAAACCTGTCCTACTGTGGAACACCATGGATGCTGCATTTTCCAAGGATCTTCTAAAGCGTTCTTGTTCGATAGCCGAAGGAACACCTCTTTCGAATGATTCGTTCTCATCTATATTCCAACCGTTACGCGCTTCGTGGACAAGGGAAGGTACCCTCTCGCGATTGTTGTTAATGCTCTGAATTCTGGAAGACGAACAACTGTGTTGAGTCGATGCCAATGCGACGTCATTCGCTATTGAACTCGTTGCGAATGATTTCTGTGCCTCCTGGTGATCGTAATACTCCTCGGGATTTGTACTCTGTCGCCTGATCAGATTCACGCGAGTGATCATGATGTCGTTTTGACTGTTCATTTCAGGATGGATGTGATCCTCACTATTTGTACTATGGAACCTTGGATTTCGATGTGCGCTATTCCCGTCGATCTCCCTTGAACTCTCATTGACCTTCCCAACGGCTTCGGAAAAGTTTGAAAAGTCAATGCGCCTCTTCACTCTATTCTCCCTCTGACTCTTGTGATTCTGACCCAACAGTTTTTGGACGCTGCTGGTACTCGTGTTTTGATCCGGGTTCGAAGAGTTTTCGCGCTGGTCGCCATTGCGGAAATTATCTTCGGAATGACTTTCCGACGTCAGAATATCCTTTCTCTCGTGCTCTCTTTTAAAGAGCTGTCTAAACCGATTAAGCCTTTTATTTAAGGCCAATGGTAAGGACTTTTCGTCCTCGTACGGTACAATCCTCAGTGTTTGATTAGTCTTATCGGCTCTATCTTGCTCCTGGGGATCGTTTGAACCCTCCAACTTTTCAGCTGACAACATTCTTCGTGGTCTGGTCCCATTTGAAATGTCTGTGAGACCCTTTCTGTCTCGACTAGTTCTCAATATAGCCCCCAGAAGAACATCTGCCTTGTTGGACACGTTGTAAAAACAATCTGCAGACTTGGCAGTTCGACCCTCAAGCTTATCCGTCTTGATCGCTAAAAGTGACTCTTTCTTGGTAGGATTTGTGTCTAATAATTTTTCTTTGCTGCCGTAAGAATCCTGTTGATTAAGCTGAGCTGGTTCGTTCCAATTCGAGCTCTGCGTCCACGTGGATTTGCCTGAGAGTCGCTGATCCTTTCTACACAATTTACAATCGCAGTCATCACTGTTGCTATTGGTCGCGTGATTCGCCTCGTAACCGCTTGCATACTTGCAACTTTCCAAATTCACGGTTAAGGACTTGACGGATGATCTCTCATAAAAGCTACTGTCGTCACCCTGTCTCCCAGATCTGTCTCTGCGTTTCACGGTCTTGAGTGGAGCTCTTCTGCGACCGGATGGAGTCCTGGCTCTCAGCACAGCCAAAACTTCGTCAAACTCCCTCTGGCTCAGTTCCAGATTGCCATTCTTGAACTTGACTTCGCTGCTACGAGGCTCTTGAGTTTTCACGTCGTTCGTCTTGGTCCTCTCTTCCATGAAACCATTACTAGCTGCTACCCCGAGAACTCTGCTTGGAACTTTACTGAACCATTCCAAGATTCCACCTTCCTCCCTCGGCTTCTCTTTGTCCTCGGGAAATGACAACTTCGACATCAGACGAGTCAAATCCTTAGGTGTTTGATGATACCTCGTACTTTCCGCGGTACTGTCCTTCGTGTTGGTTTTATTGTTGGACGACTTTGAACAGCTTTGATGGACCATGCAGGATGAATAAATTGAATTCTTAAATTCGGTATTACCACTATACGTAGAGGGTCCAGGGTTAGATTCGTGATATGGACTACGCTCTTTGAATGGATTGATCACAAGGTTGGTTTCTCTGGGCACTGGAGGAGGCATCGTACTTCTGGACGCGTTAAGAATTTCTGCAAATCCACGTAATTTCCTAGTGTCAACCTTAACGGTGTCGTGATACGGTGCCGGGGATCCCGAAGATGATAGGTCGAATGGCGCAATATTGACGGAGTCTGTGTTCTGTTCAAATGAATCCTCGAAATCTCTGTTAGTTCTTTTCCACATTAAACTATCAGTGTAATTCAGCGATTCCTCTCGATGTTGTGTCATAACCGAGGCATCAGTTGCAGGCAAATTCTCAACGGTACGCTTGTAACGTTTCTCTACGTTTCCTTCCTGTTCTTCAATACTCAACTGAGTTCGGAAACAGTGAACAAGACTCTCCGTATTCGAATGATTTTCAGTGTGTTGTTCCTGACTTTGCGCTAGGGTAACAGCACTAGGATCACAATTCGCTGTGTCTGGATTCGTAGTTGGAATTTCGTTTGTTTCTCTCATTGACATTTCTTGAACTGATGGTAACGGAATAGTATGGTACGCTGGACAGGGTACGACATCTTCCGGACCGCAAGGAAGGGATCTACGACGTTTCCGTTCACCATTGGGTCTAAGGGACGGTGAGGGTGGGCAACCATCTTCTTCTTCGCAGCGACAGTGATGTTTCCCAGGTTCATTGCATGGTGTTTGGAGTCTGTCATCCACCAAGGCTAGAAAAACAAAAAAATGTATAATAATTAAAATAGAAAATGGATGATTTTAAAATTGTAAAACTGTTAGGGCTGCAATGTAAAATGAAATCGCTCTAATGAGAAACGAGCGTGAGAATAAGAAATATAATTCCAAACTACAAAAAAAAATGTATTCCTTACGAAATCATCTGTTTTCATGACAGTTTAATAGATTTTGCTTCAGGACTTGGTTTAGATACTCGGAAATGACTAGTGCTCGTGTCAACGATACAAGACTTCTATAAATAATTACCAGGCAAGAGCAGAGTCTCCGGATTTTGAGAAACCGTGGATACCGGCATATTTTTAGTCGGAGTTAAAGCGCGTGCAACACCCTCTTCATCCTTCCCAGCGATTGGATGTTTTGGACATGTCAAGATTGGCACCTCTTCCATCCGTGGTAGTGCCCAGACTGTTACCTAAAATTTACACCAGAATTCCTCTTCACGTCCATAAAATGCACTCACACTGGTTGTACAAGATTGGGTAGCCCGTGACTCATCTGCTGGTTAAAAGTAGTATCGTTAGAGCGTTCCCAAACCCCAGAATAGAATCGTCGGTACTTCGGTCGTCGACGTAAACCACCATGAGGCCATCGTCATAGCTTGGAAAGCAAGATGGTCCCAACTTTATTATAACACCAACCAGTTCGAACAAGACAATACTAAGGGACACGGGAGTTTCTCTGAATTCCTCAAAAATTCAGAGTATAAGATCAAATCCCAAGCATCCTCAGGGCTACACGTAAGGAGCCACATAAAAGAAATGTTAAAATGTAAAAATGTTTCAATCCGTAAGCACGAAAAGAAACTATCAATTCTCTTTGACCATCACCGACTGAAGTGCATATTCTGAGGTTGGTAGCAGGAATCTATGATCCAACGCCAAGCCCACATACTTTGATAGAATTTCCATCACCGCTACCAGCCAAGGGAAAGGTGTGCTTGGTAGGAGAGTCCCGAAACTTTCTCAGATTGTCCTCGCTGTACGGTACGACCCTGGTAGTCACATAATTAGGCTTAGAACCGTTGCTGCGGGACCACCAAGCTGCCACTTGACTGAAGTGTAATCGAGAGCGTACCGCCTGATAGAGACCCTGTGAGTTCATCATTTCCGGACCCCTGCAAACAATTCCGTTGTTATAACCTAGTGGAAGCAGTCCTCTCCAGCAGACTGTACAGTACAACTGAGACTCCCTACAGACTAGAGACCCTGCATTAAAAATACAGATCTTTTTTTTTCTAACCATTCAGTTCCTTCTACCTTGTCTCTTTTTTTTTTCTTTTTACTCACTTGCTCGGTACAACACTGATGCACCAATACTCCAGTAACATCTCCGACGAATGTTGCCATGTTGCGATGGATATGGACGGTATAGGAAAAACCGGGTCCTTGCACGTGGCCTTTGCAAGACCACAGGGACAATCGCTGCAGAGTAAAACCTCGACGCACATCAGCGAACCAACAGCTGTCCTGCCCGCAATCTCACGTACTAGTACCAGGTACCGGTCGCACTAAACAGTTTCAAAATACAAAAAGATAGTACCTAGAGATGTCTAGCACAGAAATCTTTTTTTTTTTTTAACCAGTAGGTCGTCAGATCCCAATTCGACAAATAACTTACCAAATAATTATCCTTCTCACAAACATGTTTGTTTGGAGCTGCCTGCATAGGAGCGGCACAGTGAGGGCCCTCCTTGTATCCACGCGGAGGACCCTGAATTCTCCCTTCACTGACAAGGACTCCAAGAGCTCGGACAACTCCAAGAACACCACCGCAGTTGCCAACTCCATTGGGACTGGCTGCTCCACCCGTTACTGCCCCTAGACAGTGCATTTCTGTAAAGAAAAATCATATATATAAAGCATAAAAAATATAATTCCTCGAAATGAATAAATTTATAAAAATCCCCCCATAAATTCTCATAAATTATTTTTTAACGCAAAAAAATCAAACGTGTAAATTACATTGATTACTATATTCAAAATTTCATTGTAAATTTCAAAAATTTCTTCTCGCACGCACTAGCGAGCGCCGTTGCAAGTTCTTAGAAAATGTTTGGCTGGCCTCTCGTCGAGCCATGGAAAATTTGGCAGGAAACCAAAGACTCGCGATCAGCTGAACTGGCATCGCGCGCATCGTTCATTGAGAAACAAAGCGCGTGCTCGCAAGGCCATCGCGAGCTTGCATGCAGGATAGACGTCGTTTATTGGATTGCCAATACGGAAGTAGACAACGTTCCCACTAATAGCAAACAACTAATTAGAACTATCGATAGCGTTAGAACGAGGAACAATGCATGCCTTTGTATTAGAAACTAGAATATCGTTAAACACACCTCCGAACATACCGCTCCTTTGAAAACAGTCTCCGACGCATTGTAAAAGCATTAACGACATTATTTTCGTAAGCAATACCGAGTGTTCGTAATGATTAATTATCAGTGATAAACACCAGCGTTCGTAAAGACTTTGCACTTAAGTTCCTTATCAATGTGGGTACCCGATTCGAAAATTCGTTCCGCGGCCAAAGTGCGCCAAACGGCTGGATTCGATTGACGAGAACTTTTAAATGCGCAGATAAGAATTAAGCTTCATTATTCACATCGCGTATCGAGGACTCGTTCGGTGCGTATTTATTTATATCGATGGAAGATTTCACAGCGGCAAAGCCAACCCAGCTCTACGCAAGAACGTATTTTCCTGCAGCGCTAAACACGAATGGATTCATTTCGGTTTTCTATAGTAAACTAGAAACACGTATTACACGAGCGAAGTAAAGACCTGGTTAATAGTCTTAAATCGTTATGTAAAAGAGTCCGAACTGGTCGTCGTGTTCCACGTCGTAGCAGAAGTCTTTGTCGTGACCAGTTAACACGTTCCACATTATTTATAACTTTACTCTCCAACATAAGCAGCGAAAGTGTCGAACCGGCTCTCCTGGCGATTTCGCCACTTCCCGAAGAAGACTGCAGAGCCGAAGCGAAGACTGACGAAACAACGGAAATAACGTTTGATCCATCACAAAAATAAAATACAATATTCGAGAGTAGGGTTGGATGAAAATTAATTATCAGCAAGCTTTTTTCGGTTATGTGAATTAATTTTTTTTTCTGAATAAAAATTCCGGATATTATTTCTTAAATACAACACTCTTCGCGATTAAATACATTGCTTTGTCACGGCGAATGATCGACCGTGTATTTCAGGGGGTAGCGTCACGCTCGACGTTCGAGCGCAGTTTGAATAAAGAACCTGGAGGATTCGGGGTTTATATACAGACCGAATCCCGAGGGTGAGTGAACGAGTGTGTCATGCGCAAAAGGTCAACCCTTGCTGAAGCAGTTGGGACACCTTACGGTAGGAGAAAATTCGGCACGGTTTAGTATGGGGTGAATTTTAGAAAGGGTATATATATATACGTGGAAAAAAAGGCAGGGCTGATTTTTTCATACGGAGTAAATATGTCCGCCGATGGATTCGACAGAGAAAATAGCACTTACATACGTAAATAGCAGGTACGAATAAACTTTTGTGTACAGAGTGACAAGACAGTCGTGTGAAACGATATACATTTTTTATGAGGATTCAGAAGAATTTTAAAGTTCACGAAAATCTTTGGATTTTACATCCGTTGATCATAGTCAGGTCTTCCAACAATATTTATATCTCGTACGAAAATTTTACTTGGGTATTCCTGTCAGGAACCGTGTCGATATTTGTATCGGATTGTCAATGCTGTCCCGCAAGATCTGCTTTACCGACCGAGTATCTATTATATATATATATGTATATATAACTGCCTGTGTTTTCCCATAGATTTGAGAACCACTGTAAAAATATACAAAATCCAAATTTATCTCACAAAAGAAGCCAGTTAGCCACTGTAGATAGATTCTTAGGTGATCTGCGTGCCAGTGCCTTCTTACAAATAGAATCCTCTCACTCTCCACGAAAAGCTGGGTATTCAATGACGGAATCTACGCCGTGACATGCGTATAAGCCAGATGACTGCGAGGAAGAGGAAGTCTAATGCGTATTTGCGTGGAACGTATTCTACGTAGATACTAGCAGTTCCTTCTTGGTATATCGGCGTGAAATACAAGTATGCAGTGCGTATGGCAATTGACAATAAAATTTTCACCTGATAAACCAGGTCAGGCTTTAGATATTGTCAATTGAATAGACGTGATTGATTGGACTGTCGCAAATCTCAACCCAAGATCAAGGATAAGTTAAAATATGTAGAGTCACGTGCAAGATTGTTTTTTTTTTTTAATTTTGAATTTTCACATACAGTTTTGATAAAACCTAATTATATTTTATTTTATTTATGTATTGTTATTCAACAACTGTATGTCGCCTGTTGCATATCTATAGGTAGACCTTGATATATAGTGCGCGTGAACAGTATAAAAAGTAAATAACTGTAAGTCACTAACCGATACATAAGATACACTGTACAATCTTTCCATTATTTTCGTCCCACACTGTATACACTTTGCTGACTCAAAAAATTCCACTGTTCAGCATCGCAATAACCTATGCGTTCAATTTAAGCGATCAGCTTCCGACGAAGGAACAATCGAGACAATAAAAAAAGAATAAACGCAAAGGACGCGAGGTTCGATAAACCCTGAGACATATAACTTGCCTCTATTTTATCCTGTAAAAGAGTCGCTATCTATTGTTTTCGAAATAAACAAGCAATGCTACCATCGGCACAATACAAGGTGTGCGTCGTTGCGACAGGCGAGCATGGAAAAATCAAAAGCACGATTCTGCCGATCGTGAACGCGGTTAATGGCCGCGTAATTGAAAGCAGAGAATACTCGCAGTGAGACCCTGACAGTATAACTGTTATATCGAGCCGGGGCCATTTTTCGGTACCGAATGTCAAAGAGTGAACGACCTGGAGCCCTCCGCGTTCTACGTCCTGTTTCGGCTTGATTTAACGCTGACAATATACAATGAATCTAAAGGGAAATTGTCCATTAAAACTTCACTCGTTCTTACGGTACGCTTACGCGCCCCAAAAAATCAGGTTTAATATTAGCTCCATTAGCCAAACCCATGCTTATATACCTAGATAAGCCCCATATAGTCAGACAAGGGCATACCGACAAGATTTTATGTAGAATCAACCCCCCCGAAGAACCCCGGTCCAAGCAACATGTCGAGGGAGGGAATCAGCAGCAAGCTGATGCTATACTAAGGGTAACGACTCTGAGAAAAACATGGCCGTGTCTGACCATTCTATAGTATATGTGACCCGGTATGGTTTGACTCTGGAGGGCGGATCACATGTACCAGGAGAGGTGGTGGGGTTAAGGGGGAGGTAGCAGGCAGAGAAACGTCGGTGGGTTCTCGGTTTCGTTCACCTCGTGGGGGTCTGGAACCCAGACCTCCCGACACAAAGACGAGGTTCAACACACCACTTCACGCCGAACTCTCTTGCGAAGTGAGTAACCGTAAGATTGAGCTGATTACAGGAACAAGAGAAATCCTTCTGTCGCAGGGAAGCAGGTGACTGGGTAGGTTGAAAGGAGGTATCGTGGAAATTCAGGAACGAGCTGGAGGAACCTGGAAGGAAAGAAAGATTTAATATATTCCAATCGCGATAAGTCCTAGACAGCTAAGGGGGGATCAGTAGGATGACCTTTAATGACCCAGGCCCTACTTTGATAGTTTCTGCGCTCTAACAGACGTCCCTCATACCTTACTAGTCAATGATCTTGCGTCGCCCTTCGTTCGGGAGAAAGGGTCGTTGCTTTCGTCTAGACGCATGACCCGGCTCACCCTCTACGAAGCAACGCACTTCGAGGAGTCGCCGTCAAGTTCAACAGCCCGGGACACAGCCAGAACCCACCAGGAGCAGTTGAGATTTGGGACGTCGTTGAAAATCGCAGAATCACGCCACTTGGCGATTATATGCTGAGGTCTGCTACATGTATGTATACGTGTAGTGTTATATGGTTGGCAATAAGAGGAATAGCTGATAAATGCGTATGTGCGTCTCTACGTGGGTCCAAGAGACGCCAGCTGTGGAAAACGACTGTGAAGAATAAAATCTATGACAATGTTTTGTTATTGCGAAGCACAGAAAATTCTGGATAACGCGAATGAGAATCGAATTCGATTAGAACGTTCGTCCGTTGTCGAGCCGTTTTTGAATTTTTTTTAGGTTGGTCGATACTCGTCGTACTTACGCCGATGACCTTATCTATCGTTTTACAAGCTACAAGGTTTTTTTTCGAGTATCAGCAAGATTTTACGATACCAATTTTAATACGTACCCCTGGGCTTTCTTCTCTACGAAATATTCCATGCTTTGACAGAGACACGTACATTGTATATGTGTTACTACTGGTTACCATTAAATATGGCCGCCTGTCATCGTTTATGGACATGGTGGGTGTCCGTGGATCTCTCTAGTGTTAGATAAATCGTCACGTTAAAAAAGGGTTACGTGAATCCTCGACGCTCGAAGTTTTAATAAATTAATTATCAACAATGTAGGTTTCCATTAGGCTGTACCGCTGGCACTGCTCGCGACGACGAATTTCTACTGAGCGTCTTGAAAACGTAAACCCGCACCGACGGAACTGCACCTTGTTTTCTTTCGTCACGTGCTGCTCGTCGCGTACTAGCCGTCCTGCGAAACTCGTACAATAACAAATTTAAAGTCCTGACCAAAACCTGGAATCATCTGCGTATTATTACAAAAGCATTGACCGGTGCATTCGGATGGTCGTGTCCATTGTAAATGTTTATCAGTGATAAAATCTGCGAGTATATTGTCATAGGGAATATTGCGTGACCTATTTTTTTTTTAATAATTCGCCGACTCATAAAAATTCGATTCCAGATTCATTATTGCTGATCGTACGATAACGGTTATTAATTATCAAATAAGAGCCGCTGGTCATTTGTGATAAGTATCGCGATAACACAGTCAGCCAGTAATAAAACGTTATTCCGTAAATTAATATTGTCCTTAGAAACAAAGACCGCTTCCAGACTTCATAGCATGTTTTGACACTCTTATACGGATTACAAAAAGAACAAACGCACGGCTAAGCAGCAACAAGTCTGACTGTACGTTATTGAGACCCAGAGAAATTTTCAACTGGACAAAATAAATATTTGACTTTGGCGCCGAATCCCGTCGATTACCTTGTTAATTCTTTTTAGTACAAAAAATATAACCCACCGTGAAGCAGGGTAACGGGAACTGTGCAAATACTTATGTTACGCAATAGAATATGTTAAAGCAAGTCCCACAAAGATACAAGTGATCCCAGTTGATCCTAGCGAGATGCAAGTCAAATGAAGCGTCCAATATCCAAGATCGTTATGTAAAAATGGACTTTACATAGTCCAGGTTTATCGTTCGCTTCGCGACTTCTTTCGTGAGAACGAATGTTAATGTACCAACCAAACTAGACAAAAACGGGGTTTGATACACGCATGAAGTTTCGGAATGAGACGACGTACACTTTATTGTACTGGTTTATTTCCAGAAATATGATAAATATTTTACTGGCTTAGTCACGGCATGTCAACAGTAGAACGTAGACATAGAATCCCAACGATATTTCTTCAGCTTACTTCTCTCTCCGATCCAGGCTTAAAGAATTCTTCGATAAACCCAAAAGAGATACCTGAGACGTACCCAAACTAAACATTATGAAATAAATATCAGTCAAGTCTATCACTACGCGCAGGAGTGTACAAATTGAACGGGGAATCCGTCACGCCTGACTGTGATTCAGCATGCTGAAAAAAGATCATGCACAACAAGGTTTTAACCATTTACCGTGCCCTGTTTCTCCAGCACCAAATATTCTTTTATGTAAAGAAACAAAAAAAGAATCGGATTTAAAACTGCATTTCACTCACGTACCTCAAGGGAGATCATAAAAGCCAATATCCAACTTGAATAACGTCCTAGAAGCTAACGAACCACCACTTAGTCGAAAGTCCATCAAGAACGTACAGAAAAGTTTCCACGCGTCTACTATAGCGGAATTGAAAGCAATGGGTAGCTTAGCATTGCGTAACGACAATGGCCCAGAGCAAGGGTGTCCTTGGATTTTCAGGAAAGCCGTCCAGCCACGTGAATGAGAGAGAAAGCGAGAGAGACAGAGTCATCCGACGGTTTTACTACTACAGTCTGTCGAAGACTCACAGATCAGCAGAGCTCGTGCCCTGTTGAATCGGATAATGACAAGTGATGCGTATTATTTGTGCGCAATTAACGCAAATAACTGCGGATGGATGGGAGCATTAAGAGTCTTCGCGTAACATCCGTAGGTTGCGTGATTGTAGGAGATGCACGTGCATACATAAATCATCCTCGACGAGTCAGGGAGAGCGAGTATACAGACAGATAAAAAGATATTACGACAGTGGCGAGGGGTAGCAGAAAGAGGGTTCATAGAGATAGCATGTCAAGGCTGATGTTTATCGATCGGATAGTAGCGAAGTACTAGCTAGGCCCCTGTGCACGCACAGCTAACCGCACCATTCCTTATCGACTGTACTAGCAGCCTCTCTCTTTCTCTCTCTCTCTCTCTCGCTCGTTCTCTTCTCATGTAGATCTCTCTGGCTTGGTCACACTCGTAGAACCCTTCGTTTGGCCAGGGCCGTCGTATAAACAGTATTAGGATCAATTGACACAATGCACAAAGTTGACTCGGCGATGCGCGCTTCACTGCTGTATACTTGTTTAATCCACCCGAGAAGTTAATGGCATGGACATTTCGCGCTGAAGAACTTCGCGCACAATGAATAGTTTGCATTGTGAAAATAGCGTGGGATAATAGAAGCGTCCGCATGCGTCCCTGGGCTCGAGTTTATCGTTGGCGAGGTCAGCTGAGCAGTCGAGCCCACAGCTGGGGAAGCAAGACAAGATGGCGTCCTAACAGCTGATCGAGTCGGCGCATGCGCAGTGAGCGCCACGAGCTGTCAAAACGAGTTGTGTTAGCAAAGAAAGGCAAAACGCTAGGGAGTCTATTTCCAGACGGAATGAAAATGGAACGCCTGGCCATATGGAGCGCTGATACTTGTCTGATGGAACTATAAAATACGTAGCCAGCACGGCAGATCGTCGTTGCGAAATACGTTGGACATAGTTAAGTACTGAATTCGAAATGTTTCCAGATAGTCGCCACCCCCGTTCGTCGGGTATCGACACGAGTATACAAATATATTATTTACTTTTAATCTCATCGTGAAGCTACAGAGAATCAAACAATGAAAATGACTAATTAATTCTTTTTGAGGTTAATAATAGGATCGTGATCGTGACAGTCATAGGTACCAGAGGTATTACAACTGGTATGATGCCAACTGTTAATCGTCACGATATTGCAGCACGTTCGTATCTCGGACTTGTGTCCTTTCACTGGGGCCAGGTGCGACGAATTACGCGATTTTCTAACCGGGAACACTTCAGCCTTATAGTCGGAGTGTTGACCGACATTCTGAACAAGTATCGGAACGTTTCAATCTAAGCTCTTTTTTTTCATAACTCTTTCCTCTTAATTTCCTCCTATGATTTAATAAGCGTTTCAATGTATGACAGGACGTGCAACGGAACTTTCGTAACTCCACTTGAACTTCTTTGTTGTTCACCCATCAGAGCCTCAAGGAATACTGTCATTTATTAACAAGGATACACCTATAAGAGTGATTAAAACGAATATTCTCCAAGGAGAGAATTCCTGAAAATATTTGATCATCCTCATTAACCCTAATGAAGTACAAGGCCTGGGGCTATAAAAACTACCATGAATTACGAATAGAACCAATAGCAATAATAAATTCGCTGATGGGAATTTTTTACATACAAATTCTTCTGTAGCAAGGTGAGACCTACTTTTCATTAAAACCCCAATAAGCGTCCCTCTCTCAAGCGGCCTTTCTATTTTCTAACATTTGTACGTATACTTCATGCAGATATACATTCAGAGATTGCTGCTATCATTTCCGGTAAAACCAGAACGTATGACGCTCACCTGGCTGGCCTTATAATCCGATTAAATCTTGTATAATAACAACAGTACACGACGTTCTCATTCGTCCACTCGCTCGCTAGCGCGGATTGAGTTTCACGGTACAGAGCAATTACAAAATGTAACCCAAGGCGTAAAGGAAAGTAGAAAAGAAACCGAAGAGTCGCACAATGAGAGTCATACTCGTATCTGTTGAGTGACTCCAGATGATTCACGGTTAAAGGAAGCTGCCGGCAAGAAGCCAATCGTTAATTAACGATATGAGAAAAAGTAAACGACAACGAAATTCAATCACGTAATTGAGCCCAGTGAAGGAAGTGAGAAAAATCAGTCTCCAGCATCGATTAAAAACAATTCAGAGAAGAAACCAACGATCGTCCATACCGGACAGCTACATAAGTTTACTGTCGACTTTATCGCATTCAAAAGGATCCAGCGCAACGTTGCGTCAGCCTTTGAGAAATCGCAATGCCTATAGGTGAAAGCGCAATGCCTAATATATTAAAAGCAATCGTAAAGTACCGTTAAGTACTAACCACCGATTCACCTCTCCTAGGGCATATTAGTATTTAGAAAGGACCTACAAATGACGTACCTTATAAAAGCACCGTTACGACGCGTGTACTATAGCATCCAACAGTATTGCTATGGCAGTGGAAAAATTTAATTCCAATCCCTGCGTGCTGGTAGCACGTGTTCCTGTAACTAGCGAATGATATACATGACCAAGAAAAGTGGTCGTTGTCTTCGAGATAAGGATAAACTTCTTTGTTCCGCTAAGCAACAGTCTGAAAATCACGTCAATTGATATACGCTACGAAAACGAAGTACAAAATGGCACCATTGATTCGTCACTCGAACAAAGACGTCAGAGCGTGTTTTGCACGCAGCCAAAGTTCATTATGAACCTGCAAAGATGACTGTGACGATATCATAACTGGAACTGATGGACAAGGTTAGAATTTCGCATTGAAAAACATATGCGATACCATACAGTCACTTCGGACAAACGAAGCTTTCATGCTTTTATTCAGAATCATAGGTCAATAGGTCAACTGCTATATCTGTATACTCGACACATGGCCTCGTGTAATTCATCGAATATCGAACTCGTGCAACCCATCGCAATGCGTTTCCGTATGCGTTCTACACGGCTACGTGGACGTTACGGTTACCCTGTTTAATCGAAGTAGATTATATAACCCGTGTCCCGACACGTGTGACTGAGTATTATCTGGTTAGCCTTGCGACCATACGAACTGATTTTGTTGCTAGCTGAGTAGAGTCATTGAGGTGTAAAAGATTTTTGTGTTAAATGGTGGCACTAATAAATTTTGTCAATTACTAGAAAAATACAAGCAAACTTGGACTCTATGTTGAAATCAGCTTCGCTAAAAACATATCCGGTTTGTTAGCTGTCAAGTCGACGCGAACCTCTCGACGCTGATACGTTTACACTGTTACGGGTTGGTACTAGCGATATTCGCGCCCTCTATCGTTCGACGGGTGCGAATTTTAAACGAGAATCCGGGACATCTGAAAAAATCGGAAATCTTTTACCAGCCTATCGAGTGTCCTACTTTCGTGAACTTACTAGCGATTCGGGTAAAACTGGGTCGACTAGCCAAAGTAACGAAGGGGTTGCAGCCCTGCGGGCGAATCTATCCCCGGTTTGGTGCACTTGGATACAAGTGGACCGTTCCAGCTACGTGGGTGAAACTTTAAGAAAGAATATTCAGAGTAAAATAATGTCTGACTAGGATCGGTTGAAAAAAATTAATCATTCCAATAATGGTTATGTACGGCATTACATTGTTGGAATATATACTTAGGATTTTTTAGGTTAAAACCTCAAAGACCAGAGACGGTTAATCAGGAGGAAATGACGGTTATTGAAAATTGACTACAGTCGTTCAGGAAGTGAACGTAGGCAAGTTAATTTTCATGGTGGTGGTTGGCTCGAACTGTATGTTGATCCGCCGCAGTAAACTTGCACGTGCACGTGTATCGCCATAGCAACGTAATTAGAATAAGGGAAAACCGTACCCGAGCGAAGGAGGAGCGAGAGCCCGTCAAAACAACCAGAAAGGTCATAACGCTAGATAGAACAGTGCTATCCAATTCCGAGAAACGACTTACAGCCAGAGTGTACATAATTGCAACTAGATAGATCCCCACTAAACAGTATAAGAAGACCACGAAATATAGATTCTACAGATACTGTAGTTATACCGTTTCTTAACGAGCTTCTGACATTCGTCGTAACGACGTCTTGTACACGAGAAGACCAAAAAAGGCTGAGTTATCTGAAACAGTAGAAAAAAATAGTATCCAGCCGAGTAGTTGTATAACTGAAACGATGACCCAAAAAAATAATATGCAGTGTGTTCGTAAAGAAGAGCAGCCCCAAAACTAAGGATACGAAATTCTTAAATATACAACTATGGGACAAAGGATTTATTCAAAATCTCCAACCGCGACGTGCAGCAGGTAAATGTATAATCTGAACAATATAGGAAGGATAAAATAGAATTTTCATAATAAAAAAAATTAATATTTTTCTTAATTTCTAATAACGTTAATTAATTGCTTCAAATCCAATGACTCGTCAACTACCGTCAAGGATTGAGTGGTCGGCTATCTTGTGACATGAAAGAGGAAACTAATTACAGGATAGGTTATACACGTAAACACAGATGCGAATTCTAACGGGTGAGTGTTTTATTCCATGCCAAACAAAAGATTGCACGATGGATTCAGGACAAAAGTTTAGCACGGTATGGAAGCAGTATTTGAACAGCAATGGCGGCGGCAGTCCGCTACAGGGAAACGTAAACGTCAAAGGGGTAACGAGGACGGTAGGTGGGAAGTGGACGTAGATCTAGGTTACCTGCATATTATGCAACCAATACCAGGACAATTTATCAGACGCATACAAGCACGTATTGTGCTAGACCTCAAAGACACGCGAATACACTATATATATGGCGATCTATTGCTATTGAATATACAGGTATATATTTATATGTATTACCACATGGAACTGCTTGCTTATACTCCATAATAAATTGCATCATTAAACTTTCTTCAAAATTGTAGGTAATTCTTTGTTAATAAATATAAATATCCCTAGAATCAAAATATACTAGCAAACGAAATATTACAGAGTATGAAAATGACAGAGTAAAATACAGTGTGAACTGAATTGAAAATGATTTTACTTAAAAAATTGTATATCGAATTTCATACCTAAAGCTCTGTTTGTACTTTGCGGACATCGATCAATGTCCAACTATCATGGACATGTGCGTGTAAAACTGTTTGAATACTGTTGAGGCATAATTTCGTAATCGTATTTAAAAGTTCAACGTTCATTAATACTTCACTATCCGTTTCACTGGTTTTGTACTATCTTAACAATTCCGAAAATATTTTATGATTAATAGTTGCTATTCAATTATTCCATATGGGCAGGACTGAGCAATGGGGTCAGAAAGTGATAAAAAAAAATGTTTAACATTCCTTTCACTGAATTTGAGCTTTGAAAGTGTATTGGTTGAGGGGTTTTTCTTGGTATAATAAAAATGTGGGTCAGCTGGATTCAAGATCGAAATCAAGTCTTTTTCTCGGGAATCTCGCTTTAAAATAGAAACATTTTTATTTTCTGACTTGTCGAATTCTCATAGGAGCAGCCATATACGTCTAGCTCCACTTTTGTATGATTTTTCTTGAAGTTTAAACATTTCTTTTTTTTAATTTATACGGAGCACACCCCCATTTCTTGTCACGTGTAAAAATTGGATTAATTAAAATTCTGACGAATTTTTTTTCTTATGGGGATAAAGTAAAATAACCATTTTAAAGATTTTTCTTGCTTCTGACGTCATCAATCTTTCTACGTCAACGCACAAGGTTACCCCTAACAGTAGCCTTGACGACGGAAATGGTTCCGCCTTTTCGAAAACAGCTGTCTGATCATTTCGATACAAGTCATACCCAAAGTCAGGTACGGAGTTATACACAGGAATACAGTATATCATAGGCTTGCGAATTTAAACGATGGCTTTAAGCCGATGAAAACAAGCCAAAGAATACTTCGTAGAAACGTCAGGACGTTGAACCAATCGTCTTCAGATACGTTCCAAAAAACCATTCAAGGTCTACAAGCCGTTCGATCGTGATATTCGACGGTATGAAATTGTATTTAACGTCCAGATAGAATACGTAAAAACTTGGTTAAAATCGCGTGTAGAAAAATAACCAAAAATCACAACATTGCTTTTCCACCTGAACAACAGTGAAATCATGATACGTTTACATAAGAGTGATTAGGCGTGAAAAAGAAGAAAAAGAAATTGGCAGGGAAAAGCAGAGGGAGAAATCATCACCATAGATTTATCACTCGCCCGATTGTTTCCCAGGAAATTGGATGCGTGTCCTCGGTGAAAGTGAATTTTACGCAACGCGTACTTCACGCCGCGCAACGTTATTCAAACTCATCGAATTCCAAGCAAAACTTGGCTACTTAAAAAATCCACCCTTAGAAAAAAAAATCCCTATGAAAAAAAAAGTATATTCAAAATCAATCTTGTAATTCCAGGATATATAAAACGTGAAATTACCAAGCCATAAAAATCTTATATAGACAGCAATTAAAGATGCGTCGATAACGAAGACTTTTATCGACGGAAGGTAAAACAGCATCGCATTACGAAAACACAAGGCATTCTTAATCGGTCGACAGAGTCTTGATAATGCGGAAGAAGCCAACGTACGAGCTGACGAGTTTAAAGCTGTGACCTTGTCTTGAAACGTCACCTGCATTATATACTATAACCCTATAGTGTGCTAGAGTATAGCTGGTATAAAAAGATACTGACAATTAAACATTCTACTGTATATGAACTATATACCCGCCGCACTGGTAGATACGACGGGTACATGAGATTCATAAGAGACAGTATCGTCTTGTCGTATATGAGATAACACGGGCACAATCTATTCTCGAATTACGTAAGGTGGAACAACGTTATACAGAAGTGACAGTTGTTCAGGGCGAACGAATTAATTATGAAAGTGACTAAGGGTAAGAGAAAAATATAATAATTGGATAACGTCGGCATATGACATTCGTTAAGAGACTCACATGGCCCAGTACAGTAGACCCGCGAGTATAGAATGGATAATTAATATTTTGATATCCCGAAGCGGCTTAAAAATTTTCAATTATAAACCTCCAACAATGCAGATAACGACTTGGCGACGTTCTCCGTGCGCACGTCTATTTTTGTCAGCCGGTTAGATTTTATTACGAAGGCCGTCGGACGCCGATGCGACTCCTGCCGGGGTGTCTGCAAGTCCAAATTGCAAAAGATGTCAAAGGTTCAGAGAGAATGACTTATACAATTGTCAATTAAATCCTTAGGGCGTATTGTGACGCAGAAGCGAAAAGGTCAAGTGCACGATAATAACACGAGAAGATAGATGTAGCACGGTTAAAAGAAAAAAATTCCTACTAAAAATTCACCAGGAATAAATCTAAGGAATGATTCGACACTTTTTAAAATTCTCTTGTTGTCACGTTAATACTGTGTGTGCTTTACATTTAAATATTCTTTAACTCTATAAAGGATAACCTTTTCTTTTAATCTACGTTAAAAATTAAATGGGCTTGGAACTCAAATTTACGTAGGTTATACTTCCAGGGTTGAACTAACCTCACATTTAATTAAATCTTACTCGTGACACGCTCGCTTTATTGTCAATGCAAAATGGACGCCGTCAGCCGTTACGGTTAATTCGGTCATAGATAAAATTAGGATGATTCACTCTGGAGGTAGGTTAATACGAATAGGTATCCTTTTCTCGATCGGGTATATGTATATATGTATATACGCTGTGTCTTTATAAGCTGTTACACTCCACTTACGTTCGAAGGCAGGAATTACGCGATCTGATGCAATGTTACTTACTACAACGTGATGTTCACTGGAATTGCGATGATGCAAGGTTACAAATTATTCTGGTAAAAATCCCTGGCGACTATGTTACCCGGCAGATCTTTTCGAGCGTTTACTTGAAAATTATCAGAAACAGTCGTTACGTCGTTAAGTAACGCAGGAAGACGGAGCCTGGAAGATCCAACTAGAAGCATTGATAATCCGAAAATAGAATCTAATCGCCATGGTGCAAATACTAGATTTACAGCACGATGTTAACACGTGAAGCCACATGTTATAAACGAACGAGCATCGTACTGAGTAATCTGGCTGAACTAGATTCAGTTCAACTAAAATCTAATTAGGTGATAAAGAAATGACTTGTAGGAAAACCTAACTCAACAAAACTTGACAAAAATTCATTTATCTATAATGTAAGCAGGTTACGTACTTATGAAAGGGTACTGATAGAAGTGCACTGAAGCATAGCGCAAGTAAAACATAACCTCTCTCGGTAGAAAATCATTTCCCTAGTACTAATATACGAAGGGAAGAATATGTGAGTTAAATACATTTTGAGTACAAGATACCTTTTACAAATCTAAAAGCAACAAATTTCTGCTTGTAGTTTGTACACGCAACATGTACATATATCTCCTGAAGAATATTGAAAGATATGTATATTCTTATATATACATGTTTATTGATAATGTAGGTCAACCCGTTTACACGACTGTACAGCACTTCAAGTAGTCTCTGCAAGTTTATCTGCCCTAACGTAAGCAACGATCCCTCTATATTCAAATCTTTCAGCTGTCACCCGCACAGTGAAACAAGCAGTGAGATAAATAAAGTTCAAGCTGCATTGTTAAAGAATGTGAAACACGTAAATTAATGTATAGAATTCTTCAATGGCTCGATCATTTTAAAAAATCATTTGGTCAATATTTCATATTCTTATTAGTGTAAGGAGACAGTGAGAAAATTATTTGAGTGAAAGCAAATAAATTTAAGAGCTGTCTAACCTTTTATCCAGATATTTCAAGCGATTTAAAACTATGCACAACACACGAAATTGCAAGCTGCATCCTTAAGCTTCGACGCTTTTACTCTTGGACGATCGAGTAAAGAATTGCTTTGAAGCAACGTGTGGAAGTGTATTGCACAAGCTTGTGCAAAGCTTACGTAGTATAGTGAACGTCTACATTGGCGTGAATAAACGTGACAAAGCAGGAGTTTATGAATTCGTGGACACGACGCACCGATGAAACCTGTCTTGACAAGAGGGACACAGAACATAACTGGAATTATCTATCCTGAAGCTTCTGTACATAGATACAGTCATATTTTCGTAAAGTCCAAAAAAGAGTTGATATTAGAGGCAACACGAGTTTTCTCTGGTATAAACTCAAAACTGATGCGAGTTGTTAAAAAGCAGTTAAAATAATATATATATGTGCTATATGCCCATACCTAGACACCACATGTGGCATGAAAGCGTAGGAGTTCATTCGTCGATATTTTTACAGTAAAACCTCATACGAGTGAGCGATAATTATTGTCTATTGATGAAAATATATAAGATACATGACTCCATTTTTTCAAGCACGTCTTGATAATTCTTGTCAAAAATTAACTTTTCTTTTCACATGATAGACGCGTGTTGTTATCTAACAAAAAATTAGAAGCAGTATCAGGAACAGAAATCATTGTGAGATATGCATAACCGAGTTACGTTATTAAAGTGACTGTTGAAGGACGTAAAAAAATATAAACGGTAACAATTCAAAATCTGTACGTGGACATGATTTCGTTTGTTATTAAAAAAAAATAATTCCATCTAAACTCTCGTAGGGATACTAGCAATATGGCGTAAGAAAAACATGTAACGTTGTACAGTGACGGTTTATTAGTTTAATTACAGGAATAAATAGCATCGAAATCAACTGTATATTTCCTTTGAACTTACCTACTGAATGTACCACTCGACACAGAACAATCCACCGAGCTTGGAGTCAATCCCGTGGGTCAAATAATTCTATCAGGCCCCATGGCCCTGATGAATTGACGGGGTACTCTTGGATTCGTCTCTGAAAGATTTCCTCGTATCTCGCTGATGCTTTCACTGCTATCTTGGCACCGTTATTGAGAATTAAAAAAAAGAGACTTGACTTTCCCAACGTGAGACGACAGACTCATACAGGCGACCAAATGCGACCAGACCGAAGGTCTGTTGCCAACTGAGCCAGTCGGTGACAGCTCGCTCAGAACTCCCAGGGCTGCCAACTTAACGATCCTGAACTAACGGGTGCATGTTTCGCATTCAGGAATTATCCAGTGTATCCTTTGACTATCCATTATCCATTGGATGTTTTCATTCCTCTGCCGATAAATCCGAGCCCTGATTATTTCTATTGTCTGACGTTGATTATCTTTTTTATATATTCAATATTTATATTACTTAATGAATCATACTTTTGTGACGTTTATCTGCAATTTGGCGCATATGCACAGTACTTCCACGTCTTTAAGGTATATGCATTGTTTGTTACCGCTTTATTAACTTGTGATATGGTACTATTGGATTAGAGAATTATCTAGACTTCATTTTTAATTATTGTCAATGGAAAATCCTGTCATGTATTCTATTTCATATCAAATTATTAGCTGATAAAGAGGCATCATATTTTTGCATTGCCATTTTAGAATACTGTGTAAATTAGTCATTGTATCTATTTTCATTGCCTCTTATTGAACATATGTAATTTCATTGAATCTAGTTTATGGATATGAATGTTTTAATCAAATTTCTTCACTTACATATCTCGGTGTACTCTTTCTCGTCGGACAGAATTATCAAAGCCTTACACGAACCCTTCCATACGTATTTTCGATACGGAAAATAAAATTTCACGTTGTCCGCCAGCCGATTCATTAGTACAGAAAATGCAGCTGTACGCTGGCTGTTATGTAAAATTATTAGATCTTTTAACTCGCACCGATAACCCACCTTTTTTCAGTGAAACGCAAACAGCTTATTTCTCTTCTTTTTCTCAAGTAACTCTCGGAAAATTTCCGGTTTTAATGGCATCTAGTGATTTTCTTGCTAAACATTGGCTGTCCCAACGATCATATGGTAATCAGCTGTACAGCGCTGACTTTCATTGGCTGTTCCATCACTCTCCGAGCCTGTGGGATGGTCATTTGCATAGGAAATCCGCCACACGTCGATTATTGAATGCATTTTGCATAACACGTAGATCTGTGTATATTGACCATCCTATCAAATGTCTAGGACATGTTGCATAAGAAAATTATCCGCTTCTGTAAGAATGGGTGATTGCGTGAACATAGGATTTTTAATACTTAGACATAGAATATTTTTAAATCAAGGTTATCGACATTATCTACATATACCTTATAGTTAAGTGATCTAACGAATTAAATGAACACGCTGTTGCATTAGATTACTTGTTTGAGAAATAGTAATAGTTTTATTATGAAAATTTAAATTTTATGAGGAATAAATTCTAGCTAATACTTGTCCTTTAGTTTATTTACAAAGATTAAATGTCCATCGTAATGATTTCTGGTGTAGACAGGAAAAATAAAAAAAAGATTCGGTAACACATCAATTTCTGTTAATATTAATTAGCTATTTGAGTATCGCATGTACGGCGTTTGTAGTCTTTAGAGTCCTTAAGTACATGGGTCATTTTTTGCCAGACTTTTTAATTCCACCAGTAACCAAAGGACCTTTTTGTCCTGCTTTCTTTGCTGCTTCCGCAAGAGCTTTTTGTTGTTCCTTCTGCTTCTGTTTAAATGCAACGTCCTCGTCATCCATTTCTTTGCTCTCCTTTTTAGGTGCCTTCAGTGGTTTCTTCTTACCTCCTTCACGACCAGACATTCTGCCAATAGCAGAAAGCATTTTTCAAATAATATATACATATTATATTCACACTAATTCAAATAATGAAACATAGGAAATAGCTTTGTCCGCTAAACTAAACATACGTAGCATCACAAAACACTTGAATGTAACAAATTTCAATAGGCTCTTTCTCTTAATAAATACTGACGAATTCAATCTCATATTCTGTTATCCCTTTAAAAACATTAATAATTTTTCTAATGTAACAATAATACAAATTAAACCCAATTGGACCCAAATACCAAATGATACTACCACAAGCAGCAGATATTACAGTCTTTTTTTAGATTCAAAAACCTAACTTAACCCTGAATGTTCCTACACAACCACGTTTCAGTTGATCAAACCTCATGGACGGTACAAACTACAATCCAGTTGTTACCCTAACACTACAATTAAGTTTGCTATAAGATTTGACGTTTTGATGAACAATCAAGATAAATTAAGGACCAATGTCAAACACAGCTTTTAATTTCAATACAAAAACCGTCCAATGAACGGAGACACGCGTACCTATGCTCCGTTGTTTCGGAGTGAAAAAAAAAACTAAATACAAAAATCTAACTCGTATAAACGAAAGATACATAATTTATGTAGGGAATTGATAACAATAAATTCACGTACCTCCGGGCAGTGTTAGAAAATTTGAATGAATTTAAAAAGCAGCCAACAATGCTGAGCGCCGACTACTCAACCACAGAAATTAATGAATTTTGTTTAACATTGCGCATGATTGAAGTTTATATACGACTATGTTGCCCTCTGAGTGGTCAAAGAATGTATTATGTATAATATTCACTGTCGATAACTCCGCATTTAAAAAAAAGGGAGTCTACGAAAAGGTAACTTTATGCGCCATCTTGTGAATGTTTTAAAAAACTAGAAACACCAATACACATTCGTATAGTAAGTTCATAACGTTCCCTCCAAAAACAAGTGTCGACCACGAGTAACATTACGTTCAAAAATATTGTAATAAAGAACAAAAAGTTATCGTAAAACATTGTAGAATTTGTTAAAATATGCATCTTAAGTTAAACCTGATTGCCGCAGCATGTGAAAATATGGGAATCGGTATGAACGGAGATTTACCATGGCGTCTGAAGTAAGTCTGTTAACAACTTCTCAGAAAACACAAAGTAACGGAAAGTTAAAATTTAATACTTAAGGTTCTAACAATTATATATCTGCCTGATCTACGCAACTATTGTTTTTCGATTAAGAAATTGTAACATCACGGACGTTACGATTAAGTTGGATTATGAACTATGTTGCATCATCCTCCCTCTTTCATCTGTAACTTTAAATTATCTCGTTTTGTGATTGCAATTTCATTTGCGTAGGAGTGAGATGGCATATTTCTCTCGGATGACAACAATGACTAAGGATCCGGCGAAGAAAAATATCGTCCTTATGGGTAGAAGAACTTGGGAATGTATTCCAAAGAAGTATAGACCGCTGCAGGGTAGAATAAACGTCGTATTATCCAGCCAATCACTGTAATGTCCATTAATTTTACTATTCAACTGTATTTAGCGTTATTGATATTTATTTTTAATTAATGTAGAAATCTTGGCGACGATGCAATTGTTTGTAAAAGCATTCCCCACGTTATTGAAATGGTGTCTCAATATCCCTTGAAAGATAAGGTTGAGAAGATATGGGTGATAGGCGGTAGTTCGGTCTACAAGGTGCGTCCAAAAATAAAAAATTTTAAACAAAATATAAATAAATATCTTTTTGTGTATTAGGCATCGATGGATTCACCAAATTTCTATCGGCTATATTTGACTCGAATCAAGAAACACTTTGAATGCGACACATTTTTCCCGCCGATACCCAATAATTTTACTTTGGTCCAGTAAGTATTATTACGTAACTTACAGTAATCCGATTTAATACTTATTTCATAATTTATCATTACACCAGTGACGCTGAAGTACCAACCGATACGCAGGAGGAGAACGGAATTGAATTCGAATATCAAATCTATGAGAAGAAATAAAAATTGCTTAACAAAATGAAAATTATATTTTTACACGATAAAATCTTCCCCAAACATTTTAAATAAAAAATATCAACTAAATCCTACTTGGTAATTATTAATTATTTAAGGTAACTATTACTCTATTTCAATTCTTATATTTTATTAAAGCTTGAAGAAAGAAATAGTTACAATATTGCGCCCCAAGTTCGATGACAGTAAATAAACTTTAATTCATTTTATTAACCAGGAGGCCACTGCAACTGTCGACCACCAAGGACATGCAGGTGCAAATGAAAAACGGATTGAGCACCGTGCTTCCCGTCATTTACAACTAAACGAAATCCGTTCTCAAGTCCCTCTTGCTTTGCAACCTTTCGCGCGACGTTCATCAAATGTCCAAGAAGTGTCTCATCCTCGTCCTCAACCTTGGACAATTGTACGATCGGCTTCCGGGGAATCACCAGGAAGTGAACTGGAGCTTGTGCATTGATATCATGAAATGCCACACACTGAAATTTCAAAATTATATGTCGTATGAATTGCTTGAAAATGACACGGGGCTCTCGGTTAATTGCTACGGAACTGGTTGGAAATAACACAAACATAACTGTCGCTGACAGGATATTTCCAAATTATACAAATATTTTATAGTCTACCTATTAAGATAGAAGCTTCCATTGAAAAGAGAAATATGACAAACATACATAAATGTGATAAATCCGTATAACAGAACAGTGGTCGTTGCTACGAACCCGTGGATAAGCATTGATCATAAACACAAGTAGACATATGAGAAAAATGACAATTATTGAAAAATTTATATCTTATTATATCTCTACCTGGCTATCCTCATAAATGAACTTGCAGGGTATCTCCTTCCGTAAGATTTTTCCAAATATTGTATCACCACCCGGGAGAGCACTCTGTGCCTTCTCTACCTCAGACGCCATTTTTCTCGACTGCGCAACGGAATCTAATAGGCTGGGTTTCAAACAGGCCAGACGTTTCAATGAGCTCGATGTCAAATTCAATATAAACCTCATTTTTAACAGAGATAATCTTTCACTTCTCTTCCTGAAATACAGTACGTTCTATTGACGATACTTAACAGTTCTCGATGATTGATATTCTAGATGGAAATGATCCGTATAGACCGAAGTTCATGAACGGCCATAACACTTCAGCCGTTCAGCCAATACATTAAGCGGGTTTTTCAAAACTTATATAAGAATCTAACAGATATACAAATTTTGTACAAGAGTTCAACAACGAATATCAGTGTTAAGAATTTAGAAAAGAAAGATGCATACAAAAGTATAAAATCTTTATTTTGCAGTACACAGTCTTAACGGTCTTCATTTTTTTTGTAGTCTGAATATTTAATACAGCATGTTTCAGTATTGGACGTATATAAATAACATTACATCTCGATGTAATTTATACACATATTCCGCATATAGTACATAAAATACAAGACTACTAGATATCCTATACTAATTACTTTGTATCTTATGAATTATGGCAGTGTTCCATCTGGTTTATCTACCGGAATTATTTTCCAGCAGTCGTAACAGGTCCAACGAGACCCCAGTCTTACAAAAATACACTCTAACTAACTTACAACTAGTGCTAATTCTTTCAAAAAGCAGGTCAGATTAACCTCGTATATAACATCGTTCATAAGAACATACAACGCGGTTGGTCTTCATACAATAAAATGTTTCAGTCCAGTATATCCTTACACTCGAATTCCGTACACAATATATTATTATTCTTATATTAATTCCGTAGAACACATAACGTGAAATGAATAAAGTTTTTCATTTGAACAATATGTCCAACCTTTAAACTTGCAACGAAATATTGGATTGTCGCGTTATTAAGTTTCACAAACGCTGTAGAAAAGTTTAAAAAAAAAAAATTGTTGAGCTTACGCCTATAATAATTGTTCTAACGATGAATTCTAACATAAATCTAGCTAGCGTCTATATCTACATTATTACCTTAACAATTAATTATTTGAAAACGAACGTTTTATGGGATATGTATTAAGTTACTTTTCTGCGGTTTTGACTCTCGTCGACAGTGACTGCCGCGAAATGGAAGACGAAGTACGATGACGAGTCAATGACACGAAATGCTGTGAAAATATTTTGAGGAAGAAAAATGTCTGACTTTCACTCTCGTGATTCGTGACAACGACAAAGATACTTTACTATGAATTTCCCCGCGAGAACGTGACGCAGACACGGGATTTCTTTCTATGAGTTGGATCGAGGATGAACGATTGACGATCTAAAAATTAAGATAAAGTTGACGATCATCAAGAACTCTCATCGACGAAGTACTGATGCCTCAGAGCTTGAGCCGCCGTTATACGACTGTGTGGATCGAAAATGAGCGTATTCTTTATTAGGTCCAATCCATGATCGTTCAGATTGGGTATGATGCTTCTTAATGGTCTTGCTTGTCTATGAGGAAAAGCTGTCCAGCTCAGTGAAACATTTTCAGGCCATTCATCTTGAGACGGTGTGCCAATAACCCTGGGTAAACAAAAAAAGCACTACGCATTAAAATCTGTCAAACAGGATGCTCCTTGTTAAGCGTAATTCTTTTGCATGGACTGCAGACTTACTGGAAGATTCTATCGAGTTGATCGCCTTCGCTGGTTCCTGGGAATAAGGGTGAAAGACGACTCAGTTCAGCCAGTATGCAACCCACGGACCAAATATCCACAGGGGTCGCATAAGGACATCCCAGAAGAACTTCCGGTGCTCTATACCAGAGTGTAACAACCTGGTACGAATGAAATGTGCATTTACAAGTTATTCATCACTTGTATAAGTAGAAATGAGAATTAAAGTGGCACGATGGACTTACCACTGAGGTCAGTCTCATTTCAAAGTCGTAGGTCTTGGCGAGACCAAAGTCAGCGATTTTTATTCTACCCTCGTGAGTTACCAGAAGGTTTTGAGGTTTCAGGTCCCTGTGCAGTATCCGATGGCTGTGAAGAAAGTCTACTCCCAGGATGATCTCTCTGGACATTCTCTTAACGTCTTCCGGAGGTATCCCATTGGAACAGGAGGACATATAGGAGGCCAAGTCCCGTTCGACGTGCTCGAAGACGAGCCAAAGTATGAGACCACGGTCTACCCTCTCTGACCTCTCGTCCTCGGATGGCAGCTGTAGGTAATTCCCTTGACAAACGTCCAGGAGTCTGACCTGAGGAGCAACAAAGATAGCCGACAATGATAACACTCATCCATCTTCTAATGCGGCAGACCCACAACAGAAAAATTACACCAATTCGCCTTACTATGTGAGGGTGCTCGAATCGTTCGAGTTGCTTCAGCGCGGCGATCTCCCTAAGCGTAGACGTCGGCAGACCATCCTCGGTTAATGGAACCCTGACCTTCTTCAGAGCGACTACCTGACCACTGGTGAGATCCTTGGCCTTGTAAACGGTTCCATAAGCGCCGTTCCCAATAAGAGACAGTTCCTGGTACAGGGCGTGTTCACCCATCAATGAGGTCTGCACCTCGCCGGTAGATTCCCTGCCCATGATACGTCTGACCTCGATCCGGGAGGATGTTCCAGGCTCCTCGTCCTTTTCCGAGGTCATAGGCTCGACCTGCTTTGAAGGTCCTGCAACCTGTCCCACGTCCGGAACCGGTTCCTCAGATTCCTCGGTAGTCTCAACGTCCTTGATCCCACCCAATTCCTTCGGTCTGGAAGTACCAGCTCCTGAAGAAGAGGTTCCTGGAAGAGCTTCCGGCGACGATAGCTTCTCACTGGTCTCTAACGATTTCTCAGCTTCTTGTTCCGTCTCGTCGTCACTTTCCGCATCCCCGGCCTGCTTCGGTCTCTTTGGCGGTGTTGGAGATGAGAGATCTGGATCGAGTTCCGAGCTCGGGAACCGTCGCCTCTCAGCCATCACAACATCTCGGCACTACCTGAGGAACATCCAAGCCATGAATGAAATCCGATAAAAGATCCAACCCCGAGATGCATCCTAGATTAACCCAAGGAACACATGACATTCCTGAAGCACGGGAAACATTAAGAAAAACTTCCCCCCCCGAACACGAGGACCCTGCGTGCAAGCTCATTTACCAATGGTAATGGTCAACCCCTGCGTGGCTTAAAAAATTTATGAAAATTTATTCGCTCTTAAGGTGAAACGGTAGTAAAACGAAAAGCCAGCGTACAAAGGGGCCCGCAGGCTTCTCGACATCTGCACAACCACCTGCCGGTAACACTTGAGCTGCCATATTGTATCTTTCAGTGGCGTCTCGACTCTGGCCCTAAAGGATTCCACCTCCTTTGTCTCTCACAAAACTCCGCTAATGCTATATACACACGTAGCGTCTTGGCATCTCCATAAAACAACCAGGTAAACCATCTCCATTCTTCATACGTCAAAATAGCCCCGTTGCTTCCTCAACTCCATTTAACCACAAAAACCATATTGGATTGTCTGATACGTCGTTGCCCAGGGTAGCGCTACCAGACGTTAGACAAACAGGAGTTTCTTCATGCTCGTCAATGAAAAACCTGTTGACCAAGAGTGACGTGAATGAAGAGAGTGTCAAAGCTAGATACGAGGATCCCATCCGTAGCGGCGATACTAGATAAATAAAACAGTTTTGTGTAAAGCTGATAGGCCTAAGGAGGCAGTACGATAAAGAACTACATGAAAGAAGAACGTAGTATACATAGCCAGGACGCCAGCACTCGGGAGGTCAAATAAAACCTCCGTAGGGAAAATGCAGCCGTATAACGTCCGCCGTTCGGGTTTTGAAGAGCCTCCTCCAGTGCCGTACCATGAAAAAATGGGGCCCGACGTCTTATCGGCTGAAAATAATAAGCAAACGCTCATTATCGAGTTCCGTCTTACGACGATACCCATCGTCCTAACCATTCGCTCTTCTTCGTTCTACTTTATCGGACAGTTATGAACTATTGCATGTTTCTCTCTCACGTACGTACGTCAATAAAACGGGAAATAGATCTACGGGACGGTTTCCTCTATCGTCCAGGAGTCTCCCTTGGCGTTTCGATTACATTGCTTTATCAACTTCCTCTGGCGTAGATAGACCCTAACGCGACAAGGAATGCGTACACTCGAGCAGCATGCTTGCATTGGATCCGGCAAGAGTCTGCGACTCGTATACGTGTGGCGAGTTAAGAAGGGAATACAAAGAAAAAGATAAACCCGAGAAAATAACGAAAAAGAATATAAGCAGAATAACAGACGACGCAAACGCTGCACCCAGGATTCATCTTGTGACACAGACACTGCACGGTTTGTATGCGTTTATATATCGTGATATCCGTACTTATTGAATGGAACGAAATTTTTGTGGAGGGAGCGTACTATAGATAACCAGAAAAAAACGACGATTAGCGCTATCTCTCGGGTATTCGTCTCTTTAAACAGTGCCAAACCGAGTCAACTCGTAACGCTTCTATACGGCTGTCAGAAAATCACCGGTTTACAGATCGCGAGGAGAGATTAAAACGGAAAAAAAAATTAAAAAAAAAACAATTAAATAATAAAAAGAAAACTTGATTTTTTTTACGAGTAATCATTATATATATATAAATGTACAGTGCACAGTACAGGGAACAAGAGGCGGAGCCCACAGGGTCACACTCTTGTTCAGAGCCAACAGCGAAATGTAAATGACGGCGTTTCCGCGTAAGCGTTATCGCGACACCACCTTCCAAGAAAGAATGAATATTACGAAGTTTCTCTTGGACGTAACGGAAATGGCGTTAAAAGTGTTAAAAAGTGAAAATTTAGGAATCCGAGGTTCAAGTTTCGTGATACGGTACAACGGGAATGGAATTTGTGTACTGAGGATTGTTTTCCCTTTTTTTTTTTTTTGAGCAGAGGTTCAGAGTTTGAAATTCTTTCCACACGTGGTCACACGTCTTTTTTTCCTCTCTTTAGTTATCTCACTTAATTCCCACGGGTTTTGTACTTCCACGGAAAGCGGGTACGGGTACACAACAGTCCTTGTAACGTGGAGCCTTGCGCTTCCCGGAAAAACTTAGGTATAACGCCAACGGTCGTTCCGGCGCTTCCTTTAAAAAATGATAAACCTGGCAGATTGTTTCTTTGTAAAATATAACACTCTCACAGCGTCGTGTTATTTGAAATACACACTGATTCCATTTTACAGTTTGATTAAACTCACGTTTTGACACGTGCATTATCGTGAACAACGTTAGGTTAGGATCTTGGATCGATAAAATTTCTATCAAATCGCAACTGCAATCGATCGTCCTGCTTGCGTGATTTTAATGATTACGTATATTCGCGTGACGTACCGGCACGTCTATCGCAAACAGGCGTAATCTTGTAGCTGCTTGAAAACCAACGGTAAGTAAGTTTAAGCGGGAAATTTGAATTTTGTGCAAAAACACTATCGAATATCCTCGTAATCGATTCCGTCCTCGATTCCTCGCACTGTCTTTACAATCGGTACGTATACGCCTGGTCGGCTTGTTGGTTACGCAAGGATAATTTAGTCGCGTGCTTTTTCATAACCTCCAATTCGTATTTGCTGTCCGTTAAAGCGACACTGAATGACAGTTGACTCGGTATTACAGATATAGTCGAGTAATCGCAAGTTAACCGAAGTTCATACTGACAATGAGTCGCGTTCCTGTCTTGTCGGCCATTGTTTCCGTACTGCCGCGAAAGGACACGAATAGTTGGTACACACGAGTGAATAGGTTACGTGCGTAACGAACGATTTGTCAATGAACGGTCCCGAGTGAGTGAATGATTGGCAGTATCGATTTCCATTGCGAATGCGTATATCGTAATGGCCGTTATGGCGCGCATTCATTGGCATTAGAAAAAAAAAAGAATTATTGGCACTGCATTACAGAAGGCAGTGCCGCCGGAATAGTCTTTACGTTGCCGATTCGAGTCGGCTAGCTAAAAAATTATTCCAGCTGGTTAAGTAGCCTGCTGAATTGGATAAAACAGCTTGGGTAAATATACGATTTTCTTGTTGCAAACTAATTGGTAGTCTCGTTAAAAGCATATATGCAGTTAATATACAAAGAGTAGGAAAAAAGAGAATAGAGAGAGACAGAGACAATATCTGCAGACCAAGATCGAAGAATGTCACAGGTAACAACGAACGGGATTGGCGGCTGCTTGGACAAACAATATCTACGGATGAAGATGACAACAGGTTGAGAATGAATCACACGTAGAATCACTCTTATAATTTGTATTTTCTATTGGACCACGCGGTAAGAATAGTATCGAATATAGACAGAGGGAATACTTGAATAAATTATTCCGATGGTTAACGTGGTACGTATAAAAGATAAGAGAAAAAGTGTATTAATTGGCGACAATGTGGCGTCTTACAAAATAAACAGATTGATTTGTTAAGTATAATAAGTGAACGACACAGTTGGTTTCGCGTAAAGCGAATTTAACAAGAGGAATAACATCTCTGAAGCAAACGTTACATGCGGACTTCATAAGTCGCGAATGGCGTATATAGAAAAGGCACGTGGTTGCCGGTCTTTACTAAAATCTCGTTAAGACTCCTATAGACAGAGAAAAGCAGTCGACGTTTCTTGCTGTTTTCGTTATCTCGTCCTTTTTCAAGCAAACGACCAACCGCAAGATACCGGATCGATCTGGGGGGAACTGAAGAGCGAATGAGAATATGAAAAGCAGGAAGTTATGTACAGCGTTAAAGAACAGGACGCGAAAATAAATATTACTGAGAATAATAACAATTCTATAGACAACGGATACGTAAAAGTCAAGGTAACGAGAATAACAAAGTAGTCGAATTGATTTGCTATCTCCTACGTATACAATGTATAGTTCGTCCTTTTACTTACCTACCGACAAGGTGCTGACCTCCCACGAGAACGCGTGCAGAACGAAGAGGAGACTGTGAACAGTGAGTGGTGGAGCGCTGCACGCGCCGGAAACGGTTTAACACGGTTTAACGTCCGTCCGTCGTTCGATGGATTCACACTGGTTCACAGACGAACACGAACGTTCACGCACGCGATGAACTGTCACGGTGGTAGAAAGCCGGACTCGTACACTGAGTTATAAGAGTCTCACGTTAGAGACGATGCCAGTAAAGGGAGAGAGTGAAAGAGAGTATTGCGAATCGGGAAGCTGTTCTGGAAGTGCGTGGACACTGCGCAAGACTGTGAACCGGACTGAAGTGCGTCGCAATTGGACGCCCGTCAGTTCAGTTACTAGCGGGCCCTCGAAGGAGCCGTCTGGAAAGCTTTAGAAGTCGTTACTCGTTGTCGTCGTCGTCGTCTTCGTCGTTGGTTGGCTGCTTGGTTGGGCGGCGGTCGCACCGCTGCGTGTCCCGAAACATGAATGGAATGCTTCCTCAGCCGATGAACGCGGGACGGCTCTGGAATGGGACGGGACGCTCTCCCTGACTTCAGGAGCGGGCCACTCCCTTCTGGGCCCTTCCGGGGCCCTTAGCCTCTGTAGCGCCCCCTGGAAATAGATATTCGAGTTTTCCGATCCCTTAGGAATTCTTAGGATCCGTCTCTCCTACTGTTTTATTACCTAACTCCTCTCTATTACTTTCCTCTTTTTATATAGTGTGTCTTAGGGTAGATTAGAAGGATGCTCACAGGTATGCGTTCTAAGTAGGGACTACGGTCAAGGTAGGACAACTTTGTTGAATTTTGACACTTGGCAAATATCGTAAAATGATATAGACTACTGAAAACATTCTGCTGGGTACTATCTAGCTATTGAGATGATTATTTTATTTTATTATTAACGATTATCCAATGACCTTATATAATATTAATGGCTCGTAGCAATGTTAAATACTTTATGTTTATACTTTTTCTTCAGGTGACGTAGGAATTTGACCTTAGGAATCAACTGTAGAGTACAGCTGGGGATTTTGTGGGTTTAGTCATGCTTGATAGGGGGGGTTTTTGTTTTCAGTTGGTTATCGTCCAACTTTGGGTATTAAGTGGACTGTAATTATCCAATCAGAATGATTCTTTTGTTGAATAATCTATGGGTAAGTTTTCTCGGGTACTTCAGTAGCAAGATCCGTTAGTGTAGTTTGAGAGGGTAGACTCTTTGTGTTAAGTACTTTTGGGACTGAACCTTTCTAGGACCCGACCGAGTCGAACAGCTGGGTAACACAGCACCTGGAACCTCCTCCGGTTTGCGCTAGCGCCACATGCGGGTACAATCAACCAGTTGTATGAGATCGAATGGAATGGAAGCTGCATTCAAATACTCATGAACAAGGTTTAATTGCAGCTTTCATCTTTGCGTCAAAATCGCGAGACTCCTTTGTGGCGAAGGCGGATCGATATAGACTGAGCCTTGTATGGAACGAAATGTGTCGGGTCTTCTGAGTCCCGCATTGTGAAATGGGGGCTGCACCAGAGTGCCTCCGACCTCGCCAAACTAGACGGCGGACTGGTTTTTGCCCAATTTAGATGCTCCATTGTTCGGCTGGAATGAAAATAGAGGAGAAACGAGCGCCAAAAAAAAGCACAACCTTCAAACCCATTTCGCCTTGGTAATGACTTCAATTTATTAGGCTGAAGTTCACTGAATGACTCCTCTCCTTTTTCAGCTTCTCATCACTTTGCCTTCTCTTATTTTTAACAGCCCCCCCTCCCTTTCTTCCACCCAAAACCAATTGATCACACACGAGTATGCACTAGGCATAAACGTCTCCATAACATTTCTTATTCATATTGCAAATTATAATTCATATAATTGCACTGTGATGAGTCCCAAAAAAAATGTACAAGTTGCAAAGTCACATCTGCATACTTGATATTAAGGAAGAACGCAATAAGTAAAATTCACATTTTATTATAAATGTAATCTTTTAATTTTCAATTCTTTGTTTACTGTAAAAATTAATAATATATAAATACCTTAGCAATATTGTTCGAGAAGCAAACAATGTATAAAGCCGGTTATGGCTCTAAAGATACTATCAGTGCCAGTCTTTATTCCTATGAAAAGCAGTGTTTGTAAACAAGAATTACGTAATCCTTGGTACCGACGGAAGCACGTGGGATTTTCTGCATTGGTGATCGTGTGCGCGTGCGTGTACATTTCGTAAACAAGTTTTAAATCCCATTCCACGTGGAAACGAGAGACATAACGCAATAAACGTTCCTGTCGATAATTGTATCGGCAGATCTTACCACGTTGCTTCTGTCGTTATCTATGATCGTTAATGACAAAAGTAAGAAAGCTAATGAGAATCTGCTTTACCGACCGATACTAAGGTCCGTTTAAGAAGAAGTTGCCGTACTCGGCGCATGGTACAAAACCGTCTTTCGGTATTTCAACATTCGAAGTAACAACTCTGTCCTTCGTTTACGTCTCTAACGGTGCTTCTCACTTTAAATGATCACGTTGTCATTCGCGCAAATACTATGCTTTTGGACGTTAAAGCGATAGAAACACAACGATTATACGAAAGAACAATTGGCATAGTACTTTTTTAGTCTCGATTATCCGTACGTGGTTCAATGCTTCGATATTACAAATTATTTCAAATATTCTCATGGTGAATAACACTCTAACCCTTAATATAAATGTATGGTGGTACATGTGACACAGGATTTGCTGTCGTTTAATAATCCTAGAAAACTCGCCAGACAAACGAAATTCAGGTCATCGTCACAGGATGTAAGGTAAACGTGCTAATTATGTGTATCCACGCGTCTCTAACGTATACATGCTAATATTTCAATGATTTGCGAACTTTTTATACTCGCCTAAATAATACGATAATTTGAAGATTAACGTATGTATTTTTAAAATGCTCTCGTTTCTCTTAACTAAAACGTCGGTTATTCGTATATTCCACGCATGAGTGAAATCCGTTATTTAGAAATGCCAATTACAATTCTTCATACGATTATATCGCCATATACTGAATGCTTCGATGATGATTTTAAAGTCAAATGTACAAATAGGTGCGGCAAGAAAACGTGAGGTCAGTACAACATATGGTATAAGATTACCAATGGCAAGAAACACAGTAATTCCCATTTTCATAAAATATAAAAATTCCATAAATGGAATTTCACCCGCTCGGTAAGTACTTTTCGAACAATGATTTGTGTTACCGCAAAATTTATTAATTATTGTAAGTAACAAAAAATTACATTTACCAATATCACGTGCATCCTGTTTGAGTTACATCGATCCGTTACTGCAGTTTCATCTACGTGATTGCAGTTGATTTTCTTTTTATCGTATTCTTTTCTTCCTAGTCAAATTATTCACGTGCCGTGGCTCTGAAGCGTTGAAGGTAATCTCGCACGCAGGGATCCAGTTTTACGGAACGGGTAAAGGAAAAATGGAGGAGGTGCAAACGACGATGAAGAAGACTGAGAAGTAACGAGGGATGGCAAAGAGGAATAAAAAGAGGAAAGAAGCAAAGTATTAAAAACACGTAGAACAATAACGGTGCTGTATAAAGTGGTGAATAATTTTTCAGTGATTTCAACACCAATTTGCACCTATTGTAATTAAACGTTGTCAGACATATTCGAGAAAGCAGTGCATACGGAGAGCAATTGTTATATGCACGTATCAGTATGAATCAGAAAGCTGAACCGATCTCCGGGAGAGAGTTTTGGACAGCGTGCCTGTATGATTCACAATGATCAATGTCATATCTGTGCTTGTGACGCAAATGACTTTTTCGACTGTTGCGCAATCAAACCGAATCCATCGTTTGTTGCTCTTGTAGGAAGTTCGGACTTTTCTTAAGAATCTCAGGAACCCAGCAGGTATCTAACAGTCCATCCGGATCCCAGAATCTGTCGACTTTTTCATTTTCGTTGGAATGCGACCCTTTTTTTTTCTCGCGTCACCCAGGATCCTCTCTTGCTTGTTGCTCATTCAGGAGAAATGCTAACGTGACGTGTCGTATTTTTCCTGTAATATGAACGAATGAAAATAACATTTTTATTTACCTACATTTTAATATCTCATTTGTCTTTTAATCAGTTTACGACGTTAAGTTTTTGTTTAGTTTTGTCATGACGGAATCGTGCGGCACAATGTTTTTGTCACGGAATCCCGTTTGTATCATTGAAATCTTTCCGACAAGTATCACTGTGGTCAAACCGAGCCGGATGTACCGGCAGGATTTATAGAAATATGAAAAGGATATTAAAAAAAAGAAAATATCCTAAACAAAGTTTAGCATAGAATTTAATATAATTTTTGAATGAGCCTGTATCTCTTTGAATGAGCCTGTATCTCGTTGAATTCCACTCAAGTTGGCGTAAATTCAGTCGTGGTTTGTCGTGAGAATTTTTCAAGCGAAAATAACAAAAACAGTTATTACATCAACATCAACACCGTTACGAACGTTTAAATTCACATATAATTTTAGTGTGCTACGAATTACTTAAGAAATACATACGTGTGACGTATTACGTTATATTATTCAGCAGAACTCTATCGTATGCCTGTACTGTCTTCGGACTATAATGTCACCGTGTATATAGAAGCCCGGTACGATTTTCTCCACGTAAAAGATGTACCTATAAAAAAAAAAGGAAGACTTAGCGTAGAATGTAGATAATAGAATGTGGAGGGTTAGTAGCATAGCAAGGCTCAGGTATAAAATTGGGTATAGTATGCTACACTATAGCGACATAGTGAAGTATAGTTAAGTGGGAGAAACAGTGTATGACCGTCTTCGCCACCGGCCAGTGCCGAGTGAACGACCGCGATGCGAAGTTAGAGCAACTCACGAACGACCATCGACCAGTGTTATTACAGTAAATTTATGTTAAACATTTACTTGCCTCCACAATATGTTGTAGACAAACACTAATCATCCTTATGCCGGTAGTTGGATAGTTAGAAACGTAAGAGTGTGAAAAATGTAATTAAAATTCATTGACAATTTCTACAGTTGTCCGTTTTCGATTTCGCCGTCATTAAAAGTTCAATTGTTTCGTGTGTGTTTCTGGTGCACGTATTTCATTCGACGAGGGTTAAATAACATGGTGGATTATTATCGATTGTCAGAACAAGTCCAGGAGTAACAGTAACACGGGACTTCCTGATCACTGTTGCTCGGCCGTGCTCGCTGAAAATTGGAGGTTAACCGAACTGTTCCTGATAAGTGGGTCATTCGACGAGTCTGTGAGTGAGTGCGCGAGTGACTGAGTGAAAAAGAGGAAGTGACGTAGTATAAAATAAAGGAAAAGAAGAGAAAAAGAGTGCGAGGAGAAGCGTGAGAGAGAAGAGGAGAAGTTTTAAAGTCAAAAAGGAAGAAAGACGATGGCGCCGACGATCTTGAAATTTTCTACGGACTGTTGCTGCTGCTGCGATTGATTGTCTGGCCAGAAATCAAAATGGCGACGCTCGGCTAGACCAGATCTCACCGGTATATCGCCCGACGGAGAAGACCGACACCCCGGGGCAGGGTGTCCTTGACATTAACTAGCCCATGGCTAGTGGCCTTGCATGTGCGCGTGTGTGTGCCTGTGCTTTAAGTTTATCGACCTTACAAATGGAGGGACCAACAAGAACAATCATATTGATCCTGGCACTGGGACTTGCTGGAATCTCGGGTAAGTTTTCGAAACTTAATTATTTATGCGTTATGTTTATCTCGTATAATTTAGCTGTTTAATTATTAAAAATATTGGATATCTAAATCAAGTGGAAACGTGGAGACATCGACGCCTTATCTCAATCCATTTATGTTGTTATCGTATAATATTATTCCTGGAGACATTAACGCATGGACAAGCGTGTAACTTTTATTTTCATGATACCGACCGAGTACCTCAAATTCTAAAAACCGTGTGAACCATTAATTTCGTAGTCTCTCTCGACGTGTACTTGCCTCTATGCAATCTAGGGTATTACCTAGATTTTCTGTCAGTAAACTAGGGTATTTGTATATTTAACAAGCTTGCTGTGTCATAACCGCATTAAAACCTGTACTCTGCACTTTAATTAAGGTAACATTAGAGACGTCTAAAATTCTTAATAAAATAAAATAGAACAAGGAAAAATTTATTTTTTTTAAATTTTGACACTGGTCGACCACTAGTAACAAAGTCTACTGGAGAGTTGATCAGCAACCTTTTTTTAACGCTTATGAGAATTTGATATTTTTTATTGATGCTTATTACATCCAGTGCGACTGACCGGTAAAACTATGTGGACGATTTCAGTAAACACTTTCTATACGGATGTGATCGTGAATCGTGATCAGCTTGGGAACGAATTGACGTTTCATTCTCTATTGACGAAATATAGTCTGAATAATATGAGTCGTAGGTTGGAAATGCCACAGGAAATACTGGAGAAAGCTAACGTATACTACATCCTTATTACTATACGTATGTGTAAAGTATACTAAGCTAAGGTGCATACTGATTCTCTTTTAGATCCCCTATAGGACACGAGCTAAGACCCATACTCGCTGACCCGCATGAAATGGAATATTTTACTACATTAAAGATTACATTTTTGCATTGATATTACTACCCTACATATTTACGTGATATATGGTAGTGGACAATAAGAATATTTTCGTATTGTCGCCAGAGACAGTTTCGTATCTTTTTTGTACTTGTTCAATTTTACTTATCGACAATCTATAGCACGTAGAAAAGTTTCTCTCTTTGATATGTTAATTCTCGTGAAAAGAATCTTTCGAGAATAGAGAGATGGGTATGACGCGTAGACGTAGTGTTACTGCAATAGGGAAGAACACCAGCTATGGCGGCTATGACATATCCGGTATACAGTTTCGTCACTTGACTTTCGCCCAACCGCATTAACCGTGAAAGTGTCACGAAATCGCAATGTGTATTATTATGATGAGAAATTCTGGTCTTCAAGAAACTTTTTTTTTTCCATGGATCAAGCGAAACGATTTTGGATTTTCAAACTGATTATGAAAAAAAAAAAAATGGTTGAAATATAATTTTAGGGGAAAGGACGATTTGTCAAAAATCTAAGAAGAATAAATATAAAATCTAACACGTTATTTTTGTATATTCGAGATCATGGAGCGATAAGAAATTTTTTGATAATTTAGATAACTCGTGTATCCCAAATAATTTTTAAAGAAATTTTATCTTTATTACACTGTCCCATTGAGAGATCGTACAAATATCTCGACTGTGAGTGAAAAGAATAAATATTGGGCTGGAATCGGGTCCCGTTACGCTTGCCGTTACCGCCTCGAGAAACTGTCTACACTTCCATAGGTATAAAACCCCCTTGTCGTTTCATTCGCGGTATCTTAAAGGCTGATTCACATATGGCTACCTAAACAGGATTTGGTACTGACCTCAACCCTGCAGACTTTCATACAAGTCCCAGACTCAGGTCTTGTTCCAGTGAAAAAAATAATAATTCTCAAGCAGACAAGAATTTTAGAAAAGTCGTCGTTAAAAATTAAAATGACAAGAAAATAATTTATAAAATTAATCAACGAAATTATCAAGTATAGTTCTATTAATTATCTAAATAAAAGTTAATTGTCTCGCTCACTGAATCTACCTCCAAAATTCATTTTATATTTGTCACAGTGATTTAGCGTTGAAAAAAAATGTATATATAATTTGCAATCGACTCGCCTGGATCCACGTTAATTGCCAAATTTATTAATTCACCATAAAAGCGAATGCAGAAAATCTTAAGGAATTTCACGAACGCGTGAACCCGGCTTTACGGGCAGATTAACTTCCATTTCCTAAGACACCGACTGCTGCACGATTCACCTAGATTCTCACGGGTTTTATTTTCTTCCACGAGGCGGAGACTCTGTACCTCCTTTGTACAGCAACTAAAACCGTAAACAGAGTGATTGCATAGTAACGTAGTAACAAACACATACGGCACTGTACACTCGGGTATAAAAATACATAAGTGAGAAAGCATCTAATTTATATTACAAAATAACTGTAGCAGTACCATAGTAAAATAATTGAAAGGAGAAAATCGTGAGTACGAGTCGTTAGAACGCAAAGAGCTTAATTAGCCTTTCGTAATCGTGTCATCGTTTAATGAGCAATTAGTGATAGACCAACGACCAGTAAATTTAACGACCGCGAAGCTACTGCTTGATTCAGTGCTGTAACGCGATTCGAAAAAAATAATGAAAATCGTGTAAAAATGATTAAATCTGTCAAATTAATTAATCATTTTGATCGAGCTGTCAATTTTTTTATTGATGGGAATTTTTTAAATTACACCATATAGCATAAACATTCTAGCGTAGAAATAACCTAGAAATTCTAATGGTCGGTACTTCGAAACTTCAGACATACTGGATCTTACTCCTTTCTCATGAAACGTAATTGTCGACTTTCTCTTGGTTGGTATATACACGAAATTAAAGATGGCACCTAGGCATATCGTTATCGAATGATAATTTCGTATACCGTACACGGTCAATTATACCGACTACTAGTCTCGATTTCAGTGCAGCATTCGGGCCAGCGATTTTAAATTATCAAGACCCACGAATCTATATCGCTTCTTAGTTTCTCTGAAATTACTTCACGGACTGGTGAATAGGTCCCTTTCGTCGAACGAAACAAGCGAGCCATTGTTCTCGTGTTATCATAAAACGGCTTAACTCGGACTCGCAGGAGTCCTGAATAAATTAAACAGCCGCCATTAGGTTCGCCCTGCTCCATTTAGTTTCTCGTATAAAAATTTCGTCGAGCAGAAACGCGTACGATTAAAAATTAGCCAGGCATACATATATACATATATAACAGTTCCGTTAGCCATAGCCATTCGCGTTAATTCTGCGATACAAACGTTATGACTCCATGGATGAGTCGACTTCGCCATTCTCAGCCATGAGCACGACCTAACACGTTCCTCTGGAGTATGTAAGACCTACGTTCTTACAAAATGTCCGACCCGGTTCGACAGGTGCCCCAAGGCCTTAACCATCTTCGGTGTCAGTGAACTGTTCTCTTATCCAAAAATGACGTCATTATCTTTCGATTAACAAAGCATCTGAAAAGATTCTCTCTTTTTTTTTATAAATAAAAAAGTCATAAGACAAATTATATTAACCTTACGAGTATTGAATAATTCCAAGTACCCAAACGTACATGGTCGGACGCTGCAAGATCAGCTATACGCAGTATATATATGTTGCGTGCCCAGCACACGATGAAACGTTTGATCGTCTGGAGTCAATGAACCTTTTTTATACAGACAAGTTCAGTGCTTTCTTATTGGTCGGACGTATACATAGATGCTATAGGATTGGCTAGGTTCACGAGGACAGTGCCAAGCTAGGGGAAAGGACTGTCGTGAAGTTAGCGTATGATTACACGCGCATCACGTCCATGCATGGTCGACGCATCGGCCCTGGAGTCTTGGGAATGTCAACCGGCCGAGTACCGTTTCTCACGTCGACTGTCTGTCGCAATTATTCTTGGGAGATGAACCGAGAGGGATGTCTTTTTTTTACACCTTACTGAGATCTGTTGTCTCTTGTTGTGACCTCACCTTGGATGCCACTCCGACTAGGAGTCTGGGTATCCATTTTGCCTTTGCGCAAAAAGTCAACACGTCCTTTCGGATGGGTTTTCTAGGTGGTCTATATATAGATATATTGTACGTGTATATATTATATGCATTTATAACGTCCATCGTAAACTGATGACACGTGCGCGACTTCTTCCTGTCTGATTACTTACCGAGGGTCTTGGCTGTCGTTTCTTTGACGTATGGATTAATGACGACTTTGGATTAATGGCTGATTTCAAGAAAATTATTTTATACATCACTGTCATGTAATTTTGTAATTATCATTTGGCCTTGGTAGTAATGGGGTTGTTGATGCTTTTTATTTTCAGGAGCCTCAGCCATACAGACTGATAGGACTTCTTTGAGATCAGCTCGAGATTATACCGTACTAGGTGCTCCTAGTGTTTATTCGGCTCATGAAAGGACTCCTGTTGTTTTTCGCGCTGATGAGACTTCGGATTTTCAACGGACCTTGCCCACGTTGCATCTGGAAAGTTCGAAGAGCTTGGACGATGTTGAGAGGGACGAGACGCATTACGTCACTAGGAGTAAGGGTCCTGAGGAAGGGATAGACGTTTTGACGTCGTCGAAGCACGTTGATCAAATTGATGGGAATAATATTGAAGTCAAGCCTGGAGAATATTTTCGGTAATTATTTTTTGTGAGGTTATGTTTTTGAGGATAAGGATAAAGGCATTGTTCATTTTTAGTGATATAGCACCGACGAAGAGCGAAGACCTGTCGGGGGAAGGACCGGGGGCTCCGCAAGGACGAGGAATCTTGTCGGGGCCCCAGAATCCGCTTGGATCTCAGAACCAACAGCATCATCTTCGAGGATCCTTTCAGCAAAGGCAAAGTCGTCAAGAGACGCCGCGGATTTATAGCGACCACGCACCACCACCTGTCCTCCAGACAGCTTCAGCGGGACATAGACAGTCTAATCCTGATATTCAGGATATTATTACTGGTATAGTGAAGCTTTTGAATGGAAATGTTAACGTTGCTGTTAATACAGGTCGACCCCTTAGACCTATTCAGGCTACTAGGTAAATTTACAATAATTTAAGTTTTTTTAAAAATTTGATCAAATTTTATGTGAGTTAGTATTGAATTACTTTCTTTCTTATTTGAGTAGAATAAATAACAGGGGACCACCAAGAATTTCGGATTCACCACCACCCTTGCCACCTGATTATCATACTCCTGGAATGAATCCACCGCCACCGCCGTCGTTACCGGAACAGCCGTATCCCTTTGAAAAACCTCCAGCTCCCGAAAGACCATCCGTCAATCAACTACCACCGGAACGACCTATGAGGCCATTCTTGAATGGTGTTCCAGTTCCGGAACAGATCGTTCCGCAAGGCAACCGACCGTGGAATAGACCATCCAGACCAGGTAACATCCGAATAGGAATTATCTGACCTCTGACCGAATTTCGAAGGGTCTACTAACCTAATGACACGAATAACAATCCATTCAATGGAATTTACAGGAAACAACAGACGGCCAATTCCTCCTTATAAACCATTACCTCCGATAGATGCGACTTTCTTTAATGACAAGGAGCACAGTGAATTGGACAAACCACATTTCGAACTGAAACCGGAAGTTACCGACGTAGGAAGTAAGCTGGAGGCTGATGAAAGTACTAGTAGCAAACCGGAGATGGTAACTCGATCAGGAACAACAGAAACGACGACAGAAGCTGGCAAATTAGTTGCTACTAGTGATAAACAGTCAAATCTTGAAAGTACAACAAAGAAATACCATAAATATCAACCTCCATTGAAGGAAGACAAGATCGTCTCAGAAAATACTCTTATCTTAGGCGCGCATCAACAATCTTATCCAATTCCAAATTATGAGGGAAATTTATCGGATATGAATTCCACTGCTGAAATGCATTCGCCTGAAACAGTCATTCCTTTAGAGGGACATCCGGAAGTCGATAAAGCTAAGAGTAATAAAACCGAAGTCACGAAGGATCAAAATCCATCAAAGCATCGTGAAGAGGCTAATGACGAGGAACATGTTCCTGCAGTCACATCTAAGTCTATACGAAATACTGTGTCTCAAACTACTTTAAATATCGAAACCAGTTCATACGTTCAAGTTATAGAGCCGACGCCATCGATAATGGAAATTCAACCAACTGTTATTCCCTTGGAGGCCAACGAAGAGAAATCACCATCGTCTATGGAAACGGAAATGAAATTGGAACCTAGTAAAAATGAGAACTTACCAAATCTTGACACTGCACTGACCTCTGCTACACCTGTTGATGGTTTACCTAGTTTTACTAAACCTCCATTGATTGCGGATAAAACACATACGCATCCAAGTAGCAGCACATTCTCTAAGAGTCCAGGTATAAATTGCAATTTATCATTATGAGTAGTCTATCTGTGAAGTAAACAAGAGTTTGTCATTTTAATATTATTTTCAGCACCTACAGATTATTATCCTTATCGACCCAGACCTGGAATCGTTTTGGACGATACCCTGGATTATACAGGATCTCCAGGATTACCCACTCAAAGACCCTATCCTCCATCTCGATATCCACAGAATGGTGATATTTTCGATGTCACTGTGTCTGCTATTCAGGGACCAGGAGGAAGTTCAGGTAAATAAGGTCTTAATTTTGTTTGAAAATGGATTAATAAAGAAAATATATTTTTGAACATTAGGAGAGAGTGTAAGGGTTCCTGTAACTCCTGGCGGAAGTGACGTCATTCTGACATCCGCAGTAGAGGGTCAAGGTTTTGTCAGTATTGATGGAAAGAGGACTTATGTTAGTCTCTTCGATAATACAGACCCAAGTTCCGGTCCAACCCCCGTCCAACCTCAGCCTACAAGAACCCAGCCTCCACAGGTCATTGGCACAGGGTAAGCCTCTGAACCTCGTAAAATATTAAACACCCTTTGTTTCTAAGTTTACATAATTTCCAATTAAAAATTTCTACAGGTATGCTGTAGCCCAACCTGATCCTCCACCAGTATCTCCGAAGCCCAGTGCGCCTATTAGAAGACCTACTTTCCATAGGAGACCCACACAACCACCAGTGAGAATAGATACTTGTATTGTTGGAGACTCCAGTACTTGCGACGGAAGTCAACACGAAGCATGTGCAACTGTTCAAGGCGTATCCGCATGTCACTGTAAACCTGGTTATGCGAGACTTCAGCATTCACTACCTTGTAAAAGTTAGTGGAGACTGTTCAAACTTCAATATTATTTAAACGATAAACAGGAAAAAATATTTAGATATGTCTCAACGTCCGGTATCTTTTCAGAGATTATCAGTATCGTAGTTTCTATGAGGGTTGACAAGATCTACGATAAAAAGATTGTTTGGGACCTAGAGCTTAGTGACAAGGATTCTGACCCTTATCAGACACTTTCATACGAAGCTAACAAGGCAGTAAGTAAAGAAATAAAGAAACTGAAATATAATGACCTATACTTTCCTTTTCTCGTATTATCAAAAAGTATTTCTTTCTCCAGATTGAATCGGCAATGTCGATGACACCGTTCTCCGACGAATACATGGGATCTTTGGTGAATAATATTTATCAGGGTGACGTCAGTCAGGGTCAGGGTGGTGTATTTGTTAATGCAACGTTGAAACTCACTTATGAACCACGAACTGCTAGACCAGCTCTAGCTGGTGAACTTCAACGTCATCTTCTTGGTGTAATACATAGAAGAAATAATAATATCGGTAACAGTGCGCTCTACGTCGACAGTCCACCCGGATCAATATCAAATCTTCAAGGTAACATCCTGCCCCAGGATACGTAGTCTCATGATTGCTTAATACGATAATTTTTTAATCCAATAATTCTTTTATTTTAGACTTAGATGAATGCGTTTCGTCTGAACTGAATGATTGTCACTCTTCAGCAATCTGCACGAATACGTGGGGAGGATTTACTTGTTCCTGTAATCCAGGACTGAAGGACCCTCATAAAGATGATCCTAATGAAGCTGGTAGATTCTGCTTATCTTGTCCTTCTACTCATTGTAATAATAGGGGCACCTGTTCGTATCAGGGTGATCAGATGCAATGCACGTAAGTAAACACGATTTAAAGAACAACCAGCAAGGAATATAAATTATGAAAACTTAATTAAACTATTTAATTATTATTTATAGATGCACTGGAAATTATTATGGAGCTCAATGCGAAGTAGACGGTGAAGTTTTAGGGGTTGCTATAGGTGCATCAGTCGCAGCTTTGATCATAATTGTCTTGACTCTGGTGTGCCTTGTAATGTGGAGGTAAGTCTAACCTAATTGTAATTGATAATTATTAAATCAAATGAGCAATATTAAATATTTATATTCTTATAGTCGAAGATGGTCACGTGAACAAAAGGCAGTAGGATCTCCCGTGTATGGGTACATGCAGGGTGGAATCCCAGGAACGTTACCAGGTAAGAATATAATTACACTGATCATTTTTATAATTCAAATAAATATGAATTTTATTCAATTTTTTAATTTTTATAAGGAACTTTAGCAAGGGTGGGTTCAGTTGGTACTCTAGCATCAGTTAAACAAGGACCCCCAACAAGTTTGCCACCCTATATGTGGGCTCATATAGCAGACCATATGGCGACGGCTAATCTCTATGCAGTGAGTTTATTGAATAAATGACTTTTACAAATGAAGAAAGTTTAAACTAATGTATTTTATTAACTACAGACAGAACCAATGGGTCCAACGCGACCAAGTTCGGCCATGTTTGGTTATCCAACAATGAGCGTGCATGGAACATTGCCACCAGTTCCATTACCAAGATTACAAGCGCCACCAAGACCTAGACAAAGACATCAACCAGAACCAGACAGTTCGGATTCCGAACCGCAGGACAAAGACCGAGCAGATTTGATTCCTCAAAGCGGTGGCTTCCACGTTCCAAGGCCCAAATCTCGCTCCTCTCTCGCAGTTAGTTTATCTCAGTAATTAAATTCAACGAAAATTTATTTGAATATAATTCATTAATCTGCTTTCAGAACCAGAGTGGTATTTATTACGACGTTGAGTACGACCAGAGTGACTCGCAGCATCTTTCCAAGAACAATATACCTATGTCTACCTATAGTATGGCCAGACCTTATTACAGAACGTGAATTGAAAGTAGGATTGTTAAAAGAACAAAAACTTCAAAAAATCTGACACATCCAGTCGTAATCAATTTTGGGACTGGCAATCGGCTTGATTTCGACGGATTCAAGTATTGTTGAAATAGATATTGGATGAAGAGTTGAAAAACGCCGAAAAAATATTAACGTGAGAGACGGTACGTCCTGCCAGAGACGTCTCTTGACATGGCTATGTCTTCTTCGTGAAATTAACGTTTATATGTTAAGAAAGAAAAAAACTGCTCTCGGCATTTAGCAGACCGTGGTTTTGCGTGCCTTGGTTTTCTAGCTCAACAAGACAGCTGTAGTAAAAGACTAAAAATGAATTATTTATAACACTTATATAGATATATTACGTTATGGCGATGTGCTTAAACACAGGCTATTTAGATCGTAACCAATTAAAGATACCTAATAATGATAGCTCAAAAAAAAGAACGTGGAATTATTTATCAAGACGCATTTGGGATATCTTAAGGAACGACTATCTTTAATTTTTTTTTATCATTCCACGGTGATGGTTCAATTTGGGTATGTTCCTTAAGATTTCCTATTAAGAGCGACTGGACACGAGAATAATCGTAAGTTCTTCATTTTTATTGAGAAAGTACTCACGTCAATGTGACTTTTCAATTTTGTAATTAATTATCGTACACAAAGATAGTAGGAATAATTATTCTTTTTAAATTTAATGCAATACACTGTCGACGAATCAAATTGAACTGAGTTCTTTCTTTTCTCCCCTTTGCCTATACCGATCAATGAATCTATCAAGTGTACTAGCGTGGGATTAAACAAGACAGGTCGGATGGATATTGTGAAGAAAATTGGTTTTACATTCAGAAAAAGATTAGACTTTCAACTTCCAGAATTGGAAAGCTGGAACAAACGGAGCGTCCATTATTTATTATTATTGTTGTCCAGACGATAAAGAGTTTCAATGATGAAGTTTGTGATTTCTAATATAGACATTATCAGATAGAGACAGAAAAAAGAATATTCGTTACAGATAAATTGAAGTGACAAGTTAAAATTAATGAACAACCGGCATTTGTAACGCCGTAGCAAATTACAATAAAGCGAGATCAATTAATTTTCGCGTCGTTATCCGGTGTTGGCAAATCACAGAATGACGATGTTAATCTTTAAAGTCACTCAATGGCGACAGTTATAAAAACATTGTATAATCGCAGTTTCACCATCAACGCTCGTATAGATATATATATCCAATTCGATACAATATAGTTACAATATATCATTATAATAAATATGAAATGTTGATAAATATATCTGTGTATATATATATAATTTGTTTTATGATATACAATTATTTTTTTTGATATACGTCGAACGACAAAGGTTTTTACCCCTCCTGACAAAATATTCATATACCAATTTCATTGATGAAATTCATTAATTTCTCATCTATCAATATATATATATATATATTTAATTAGGAATTAATATACAAAATCTAACCGAAATTACGGTCAGCATCTCATTATTATAATTGAGAATCCTCGCATTAATCTTTTCGACGCCGGGATTCATTTATTTATATAAATTACGAGAGTACGATAGTAACTCGAAAATTTGACTTATCAGATGTTCTTTTCTTTCGAAGAAGCATAGAAAGTTCATATTAAATTTTCCTTTTAATCCAAAGAGAAAGAATGAGTCTCGTTCGACGTAAACATACGAAGTATCGTTTATTTTTTGTTCATAGAATTTCCTGTAGAACTCTCTCACTGACTTACAACGATATCAGTACACGTTTGCAAAGTGTCTTGGAGTCTAGATAAATTTGAACGATAATGAACCATACAAGATAAAAGGTGAAGAAAATCTTTGGAAGGCAAAAAGTGTGACTGAACCGTGAATACTGTGTATACGAAGACGATATTCGGCATTGCGTTACAGTGAAAAATTGATCTAGCAAAAGTTGTCAAGTTAACGCACAACCGCCATTTGCTCGTTAGGTTAGGTTCGAAATAAGGTCTATAATTTATTTTAATACTAATAAAATAGCGCACTAAGATACGAGTTATAATTTTCAAATACTTTTACAAGACCTCTTACGTCAGGTTAGAATCGAGGGTGTATCAATTCTTGAATTTCACTTTGATAAGAACGTTTTAGCTAACTCCAATTACTTTATTGTAATCAGATGATTTCGTTGTCGAGATCGCTAACGCGCGCAGCCAGAAAAATATATTCGTTGACTTGTGTTAGCTGCTCTTATTTCGATGTTGACAAAATTGGTCGTTCTGTTGTGTCACGGTACAAATGTGTATGCGGGTGTAGCTGAGTTTAATTAGCCAAACAATGCCACTGGCTAATTATTCGCCTAGAGCATTTAACGTGTACCCAGTGTAAAATTAATGATCGATCGAACGAGCAAACGCGCGGTTATTTTGAATTGTAAAGTACAAACGTTATAGACAAGTATGTATACAGGTATTCTTAGTAGGTATACAAAGTAGAAAGTAGAAAGTATCACATGAATGACAATAATCGTAATTTAATTTACGTTATCCTAGATCTTAGCAAACAAACTTTTATTTGTTTGCTCGCATTGTGTATATTTATATAATATTTACGATATATCAATCGCACAATCATTTAATTAAAGCGCATCTAACGCGTCAAACAATCATTGTCGAGTATATGAATTGTTGCTAAATACATCAGTCTTTGAGACAAGGGTTAATCAATACAAATTTCAAGAGGTCGAAGCGTAATAAAAAAAAGGGGTATACAGTACGTAAGTCTTTGCGACAAAAATGTATGACTGATGGGAATTAAATGTGTGTAAAATATCTAACGGATTGTTAATGTTATCGTTTCTTATGAAGTTATGTGCTGCCGTTAATTGTAATAATATCAAGGACTCGAAAGCTTTTGTAAAGGGGGATATAAAATGGAGGGGTAGACATTAGATATGTGGATAAAAATACAGTGATAAAGCGGCTGAGAAAAATGTGAAAAAAGCATTACGGTGGCGATAAGAATCTATCCATTTTTTCATTTTCATTTTAACGCGCAAGTGAATTTCGATAGAGAGATTCAAGTCTTTTTGGGCCCCTGGTATTTTTTTTGTTTTTCATCTTTTTTTTTTGAGATGGATAGAGAGTATATTTAATTTAATCGAGTGTTAGATTAAAAGCGAAGGATTACGTTTTAACGACTTGACGCTTTTTTTGCGTTCGATTTGCTCATTTTTGGACTGGAACCGACATTACCGTAAATGTGTTTCGTCACGGTGAACATATCCAATTTTAAAAAATTCATTATGCATTGTGCAAATTTCAATATATTGAAACGAGTAATTTGCAAATTTTCTGCATAAACATGTGAGAATTAGACATATGGAAATGTAGAAAATGTAAATAACCGTCGATAAATTATTTCAATATTTTCCTTCCTTAAAGCAAAGAAATTTCGTATAATCTTCGAATATAAAGTAGCAGAAGTTTGTCGGTTCCAAATGAACATTGTGACCTAAAATAATTAGTGCATCAGCACAGAAATCGCCATTTGCGTTGAACCGTTGACAAAAGCTGGCAATTCTTTAATAGATTTCCACAAAACTCTCTTCTCCTGGGACAAGATCCTACCAATTTCCTTAGGCCGTACGAATAGTATTCAAATTTCAAATGGAATCAAATTGGGATCGCTCCGTACAAAACCATTATGAGAAATTTATTTAAGTCGGTGTAGCTTGTGGCTGAGGGGGTGGTGGCGCCACAGGCGTAACGCTTGGTCTATAAAATCTATTGACTAGCTGTTTTAAACTCATAATGACACCTAATCCAGTCCCTTGTTCCATATTGATAAATGTATCCAGATTGTCTTTGCATGCTGAAAAAAAATTATCCAACATAAGTAAAACTAGTTCAGCGTCCTATAAAAAATTCAATCCCATAAAATAAATGTCACCTACTTGGTATAGAAATTGGCGGATAATCCGGTGGAGTTTTAATCCACGTGCCATCCTCGCGTTTCATGTGATGTCGATCCGATGCAAATTGTTGTAGGTAAACACTAGCAGGAACAAGTCTGAATCTCCTATGATATTCTGGGCGCAAAGCTTCATCCGACCTGAATGTTTCAGTAGCGTATTTCCAAAAGTGAGTAGGAAAGGGTAAAGCGCTATCAAGATCATATACAACGGCTCTTTCATCCGGCGCGTAGATAAGTATAACGTGATAGTCCTGAAAGCGAATAATATTGAAAGTGTATCTTGAATATTTTACAAAATAGCATCAATAAAAAAAACCCTACCCAGACAACCAGTTTATCCTCATCCTTGCCAGCACGTTGTCGCCACAGGGGTACGCTACGACCTGGATTACTTATAAAAGCGACATGACAGTGTTGTAGCTCAGCTCCGTGTTTAGTAGCAACCTCCTGACAGAGTTTCCACACATTCTCTTCACTGTAAGTCCGAGCAACGCATTAAAATATTCCCGAGGTCATAATAGACGCGCTCGTTAGGGGTTTAGCGTGACATAATAATAATTTCTTCAGTAACCTCCAAGGTCAAAGCAGCGAGATTATAAAGGGGTCGAAGTTAAGTGCTATCATAAGAATCGCTAATGCACTAATTAGCCATTACGAAGTGCGATTAGCATGAAACGTCCAATTAAAACATAAAATTCGTCCCATGCAATGTTTCGCCAGTTATAAAATAAGTTCGCGTGATTAAACTCCGACTCTCGTGTTTCTTATCTTCGTGGAATACATTATTAATTGCAATAAAGATTACTCGCATATTCGCGCCGTCGAAAAGTACACCAACAGCTTACAGCCAATCATCATTTTCACTGCTTCGCGCTATTTTTTAAGTCTTATTGTGTGAGAATAATGATTGGCCGAGCGAATGGGTATGAAGATGTCTTTCCGAATCTGTGGTCGACAAGAAGTCCGAATGGCATGACGCTGAAAGAGATATCTGATTCGTCGAAATATTTTGTCGCCAAGAATTCGGCTAATCAGAAGAGTGTTTTTTTTGCGTCACATACGATTCAAATGAACGCTAAGACGGAAAGGCTAAAAATGGCGCTGTATCTAGTAGCTGTTCTCTGTATCTGCAATGTATCGATCCAACGAGGGATCTGCCGCAGTATGACACTTTTATACAAGTAAATTGATTAATCGTTAGTTTAAGCTGAACGAATCGCATAAGTAGTCTTACCAATAGCAGCTCGTATACACGCAATCCGATGCCTTCGTGAATAAAGGCACCAGAGGTTTTGTGTTCCCGGCAACACGAGGTTCCACGGCCATTCTTTGTTTACAAACTGAATTTTACTCGACACAAATAGCTAGAGCAACGCGTGTTCGATGCCTAGATCAAATATAGATTTAAACTCTAATAGATTTCATTGATCAGCATAACGATCAAGGAGTATAATCATTCGCGAAAACAATTTAAACGCGACGGTGTCCGGTACCGTATGTACGGAACATTGTTTGACTACTGCTAGTTGCGGCCTTTACCAGCCGACTTGTTTCTGGAACGTTGTGCAACGCGCAAGCCTCAGGTACGTCGTTTTAAATCATACTGAGGAACGGTAATAGGTTAATGTGGGGACGATAATTTTCTAGAGCTTTTTAACGCCCACGTTTTTTAGCCACGTTAGTAGTAGCCATGCGCGAAGACGTTAAATATTTGCAGACGGAGTTGGACTGTCGGAAATAAATAAATTGGTAGGTGGACGTGCGATTTTAATAAGAGATTAATGGCTTTTACGTATCGCTACCGTCTACAGTATATTTATTCAACCAATCGTAAAGAACCGTACGCTATTTCTCATGGCTTGTTATCGTTTCCATTGATTTGCTTTTGAAAAAAATATTTAGATAATTTATTTGATAGGCACTTCTGGGCCTCTGCTGCTTAAGAATTTCTACTTGGGTCGTTACTGGTTCTATAAGTTACGGGTATTGTAAGGCGCATGTCTGAAATGGACGATGCAGTGGGATCAGTGGAGTGAGGCCTCTTTAGACCTCTTGGATATAAAGGTTTTTCACGGATCACAGTTTCAGTTCTGTATGTTAACTGAAATTTGTGCGCATCGACAAGTATCTCATCTAGAGTGTATCTCTTGAAACTTGTATAAAACGAAATGTCGATCAATGCTGCAAAAGCATTCCTATACCAAGGGAAAACGGCTTTGCTTATTTGTGATGTTCAGGAGAAATTTGTTAAAGCTATTTTTGAGTTTGATAAGATTGTCCACAACTCTACGAAATTGGTAATCATTTGTTTTGGTTTTCATTTATATAGTATTTGTATGGTATACTTATGTTAGGGATATGAATTATGTTAGACATTTTTATTTGTATGATATACTGGAATATAGTATGTTTATCCATGTATGATATAGACATCTTAGGTTATATTTGTATTATTGGCAAATTATGTAAGATGACTTTTAAAAAAATGATATTGTTCATTATAATTTCTTTTGCATTTAGATAAATGCATTTAAACTCTTGGAAGTGCCTACGCTTGTTAGTGAACAAAATCCTAAAGCCCTTGGAAAAACTATTCCACAGTTTGATATTAGTGGTGCTAAAGGGCCCTTTGCAAAAATGACATTTAGTATGTACACACCTGAGGTGAGTTTAGGGCTGAATTAAACTGGTGATAAGTACTGACAGATTTGATGGAAAATGGTATATTTAGATATCTAAAGAAATATCCACATTGTGCAATGGCAGTCCTCCTGAGGCTATTGTACTTATTGGAGTGGAAACTCATGTTTGTGTTGAGAACACTGCAATTGATTTAAGACGGCATGGATTCGAAGTACATACAGTAGCAGATTGTTGTTCCTCGCGTACTCAAGAAGATAGACTACTTGCATTAGAGGTACTTATTGTGGTATATGACTCATTAAACATAAGTGTAATGTGAAAATTATTTTGACAGAGAATGAAGCAAATTGGATGCCATATATCTACTTCGGAAAATGTAATTTTTAAACTAATGGCGCATGCTAAGCATGAACAGTTTAAGAAGATACAGGCTCTCGTCAAAACTCCTTCACAATATACTGGCCTGGTTGCAATTTCAAAAATATAATTTTTGTATATATTGTTACATATGGTTTTGTTAATACTGCATTGATAAAGAATTTTTTTGAAAATAAAGTTGTTACTATAAACGATCTCTCATTTCAATTCCTCAATAATGGCAAATTTTTTATTTTAAAGTTTTATTACAAAGGTTAAAGATAATTTTCATACAAAAGGAACATGATCTTAAAAGCTAAAAAGGTACGTCAGTTTGTTCCAGTAGATCCAAATCCACCCACTCCTCTTTCTGTATCATCCAAACTTTTCAATTCTCTTAACTCTGGATAAACAATTTTTTCACAGATCAGTTGAGCCACACGGTCTCCTGGTGCCACCTTGAGGTCCTCATCGCTGTGGTTAAATAGGACCACACCAACATTTCCTCTAATAATACAAAATTGTATTTAGCAATCTTCAGCCATGCTATCAAAATAAATGACCTACCTATAATCAGCATCAATTACTCCAGCACCAACATCAATGTGATTCTTCCATGCCAAACCAGAGCGTGGAGCAACTCTACCATAAGTTCCACTAGGAACTTCAATTTGCAAGTCTGTTTTAATCAGTTGTTTTCCTCTTGCAGGAACTACATATTCATAGGCACTATCAATCAAGAAAATACATGTATTTATTAATTCAACAAAACATCAGTATACATAAGTACATCGAAATTACCAGTCAGCATGCGTTTTATTTACCTTCGTAAATCATATCCAGCAGCAGCAGCAGATCCTTTCATCGGCGCGAATGCTTTCTCGGATAGTTTTGCAAATTTTAAAATGCTCTGTGCACCATTTATCTGCGACATGATCAAATTCTTCTAATAGCACACTCGTACTTATAAGTGAATTAATGATGGCTCGTAGTGCCAGCTAGTTCAGAAAAGGCGGGAATGTATGTACAACCGGAGATGAGTGAGTTTTGTGGTTTCTCCGTCTAGGTGGCCCGTCGATACCAGAATGTATGTATGTACAGCAGAGATGAGTAGGGAGATGCACAACGCTACGATTTTAGGCGATACCAAAATTATGGCGCTGAATCGTAGCGACGAATCTGGAAGTACGATTATGTGATTATCGCCTCCGTCGACAAAGTATATCCCG